CGACGAGTTTATATTGTATAAATGTGCTCTGAATAATCATTTACAATTTTTATAAAAAATATTACAATTGTTTATATAATTCCTTTATATATAAAATATAAAATTATTGTATAAATAATATAAATAATGAAATAATAAATAATTATTATCTTGTTTTTTTTTATAATTACATTAAGCCGAAAATAGAGTATATATCTTTTAATGATATAAATATAAATGATCAAAACTAATATTGTGCAATTAATATTGTGTTACTACTTTTAATGATTCATAAGAACTAACAGTCGGCTCATTAATAATTAGAATTAACGATTAAATGTTCAGTTTGTTTCATCATACATATAATATTATAGAAATTTGTTATAAAATTCATTTTTATAATTTATTTTATAGAAACATATATTTATTTTTCACAATTTTGAAGTTTTAATTTTCTGAAAAAACTATATATAAAATTGCAAAAAAATATAAAATAATAAATTCAATTTTTCGAAAAAGTTCTTAACGCAATTAAATTCATAGTAGAAATTCAGATTCTGATTCACAAAGTTTAGTTGGCTGTTTGTTATATCTCAAACTCATGATCAATCTGTTCTACGCTTTTCTTTTAAAATAACATGACGTAGATTTCTAATAACATTTATTTCCTTTATTTGCTTAATAAACTAAATTCTCTATGAAATGTTAAAATTAAAAATCACTGTACTCTTTTTACTTTATTCTTTAAATGTCACAGACATCTCTCTGGATATTATTAAAACGAAGAAAAATACGAAACGCGCGTAACATATATATCTATCAAATGTGATGTGTAATGCAGGAGGGAATTAAAAGACGATTACATGAACGTGACATATGTTCCAATAATTAATCAGTATTTAATATCTACGGAGTTTTGATTTTATTGCAAATTTGAGCGGAAATGAGTTTTCGTAATTTTCGACGTGATATTTTGCGAGCGGTATAAAGTCGTGTTACGTGTTTATAATCGCTATTTCGATATTTTGGAATTTAGCTATACGTTTTCATTTAAGTTATGTTATTTACAGCGATTCAATGTTGTAAGTATATGTGTATTTGCAATAAAATTATACCGATGGAAAATCCATCGGTTAAAGTGTCAAAATATAATTATTAAAATAGTGATCGAAACAAAACTTAATAGTAATTTGTTAAATTATGCCAATCGTTTTTTTTTCAACGATTTTCTCATTCAATTTCGTTCATTTGTTGATTCATAAACAGTTTAATAGCACAACTTTATTACATTTTAAACATTTCTCTTTTTATTGGCATTTAATTATTATTTAAAAAAATATGTAATCTAGGATTTTGTCTATATTAATATTCACGTATATTTTTAATATACATATAATTCCTGATACTATATTATGAAACATGATATTAGCAAATTGCTAATAACAAAATTATTATTTATATTATATTTGCATATCGAGTACAATTATTTGATATATATTTCTGAGAATCACAAACATATTATCTATATATTGAAACAATTGATTTAATAATATGAATCATAATCAATCAATTAATCCATAATATTCGATTATTAATATACTTATTCGATTAATATTTGATTATTAATACACGAATAATATTCAATTATTAATACACTTAATCCATAATATTCAACGATTAATAACACTTATTCGTAATATATCACTATTATCATTGCGATCACTATTGCAAATGCTCGTAATGCAGCGTATGAGCGTAAATGCAAGATAAAGGGGCGAAAGGACTAAGCTGCGTATAAAGCGCTTTATCCGGACAAAAGCATTCGCTTTTGGTCGCGGTTTCGACTGTAAAGCTGCATTTAGTGGAAGCTGCCTTCTGTTAGTCCCGATTTCTCGATCCACCGGCCAGTTTCCGGGATAAACGTATTTTCGCGGCGAGTGTGCATACGATAACGTTGGGCGATAACTCGCTCTCGTCATACAACCGCTAGTGTTTGTGCTAAACACGATCCCTGCTATTATATTTTCCGCAGTACACGTCGTAATTAATAATTAACCGTGCGAGGGATTAAAATAAGCTGCAAACCGCTCACGGAGTTTTGGCAACTTGGCGCCGAATCGTTTTAAGAATCTCGCATGATTTTGCGCGGGATGACAAAATTAGCAGTAAGCCGAAACACGTGTAACTCTACGACTGTGTCTATCGAAAGTTTATGCATTATTCTCGAATATAAGGTATAAATATAATCTTAAGTAATATGTAAGAAGGTATTTAAATAGGTAGCTACGCAAAAAAATACGTCCCTTATTCAATAGATATCGATTTTTCGATTATATTTAAATTTAGTGAGATATGTCATAATTATTTATGTGAAACAACTTTTTGTGATTGATAAAATATTTATTTGATAATAAAAATAGAATCAAATTAATATTTTATCGCACAGAATGCTCCATGCTTTTAGAAGCCAGACACGTTTAAAGTATTAATTATTTTTATTAAGAGAAAAAAATCGATTTTATATTTGTAAAATATATTATCAATTATCAATTTGATAATTATCAAATATATATATCATATCTAAAATTTCTTTTGACAAGTATATTTCACAAATATAAAGTTGATTTTTTCTCTTAAAAAATAATCAATACTTTAATCGCTTCTAACTTCTAAGAGCATGGAGCTTGATGAGTTTTCTGCTCATTAAGCTAATTAAACTTCGAGAACGCGGATAAATAATAAGACGCTCTTTGCGATTGAAAAGCAATAAGCAACTCGTTAAAGAATGAAGAAAATGTGATCGTTCTTCCGGTGCAGATGTCTTTTATATCATAACAGCGATGCTTGAGAGATAAACTCTCTTCGCGAAAGCAGTATGTGAGCTAAGCGGGCTTGTTTCCTCGACAATTGCTATTATGAAACTTGGAAGATGATATACAATCAGTGACGTGATTATGAAACACGAAGGCATGAAGGAGGACAGTGGACCGAATTTCGCATTTCGCGGAAAATAACACCGGCGCGAAATATTGGCGGATCGTTCGTAGTCAGAAATACAGGTGCGCATTTTTAAATCCGCGCAATTTATGTTCTCGCTTCGTTTCTCATTTCTCGTGAAAAAATCTCGCGACTCGGAAATAATAAAAAAAAATAATAGAAACAAAAACAGAGAAAATAGTCGGATTAAAGAGAGGGAGAATTAAACGCAGTTGTACACGCATAGTGTATTTAAGCGAATTCTCTTTGCCATTTCTCTTGCGATGTATACAACGCTTAACTATGATGCTGATACATATACATATATATAAATATGTATATTTGGAACAAACAGACATGCTTATTAAATCGCGCAAGAAGGAGAAACATTCGCGGCAAACTTAAGCGCGCTCTCACATGTGCAACAACGAGTAGTCGTGCATAAAATTGTGCAACATACGCTTTTGTCGGGAAACATTTCGCGAACTCTGTGACAAGATAGCTTTCCTCATGACAACGCAACGCGATACGTTACGCTATAAATATACATTATAAGTGCTATAAATAAATTTGCGCCAACTTTTATTCTAGAAGCGAAATCTCCATCGGTCTTTGCACTAGGACTTGACGTTTCGAAAGATGTAACAATTCAAATAAAAAGACGTGACAATTAAAATTATTTGTTTAGAGATTATTGCATTATGCAAAATGGTTCTTATTTAAAAAAAGAAGTAACTCAAGCAATATATTATTTTTTTACACATCTGTGTAAAAAAATTATATGTTAATAAACTTTAGATAAATATTGAATTTAAGCATTAATATCGAAATGCGAGTAAAATTTAAATTCAATCAATGATTTTAAAATGATCGTTCAATTACAAGCAATTTAAACTCATTGATACATCACGCGGTATACGTCATTGCTATAAAGTATAGACGTTTCTATTATTTCTCATATCACTTATTTGTATGTTTTCAAGTTTTATAATCTTCTGAATTAAAATAATTTTTATAGAAAACATTCTTTTAAAATAGACTGTCAATTTTTATATAATTCCTAACAATATATCTTGTTTTAAGTTCTTTCTTTTACGTATTAAAATAATTTTTTTAAGTAACAGAAATCTTTTGTAATTCTATATAAAAATGACATATTATTAAGTTTTTTATTTTTTAATATTGATGCGTCATATATTTCCTTTAAAATTTTTCTTTCAAATTGAATTTGCGAAGCAAGAAGTTATGCACTTCATGTGAGCTATCACAATGCATAATAAATGCACTTTTTATTCATATTACATATTGTTAAAAATTTGGTAATATAAGCAATTTCTTTATATAATATATATTATATATATAAAAAATATATATTTTTCCTTTATGTTTTAAATAAATAGAATAATAGATTGTTCTTCTTGGATGTGTCATACTAGCTCAAACTTAATGCAGAAATATTGTTTGTCTATAGTACATTACTATTATTTTTCATTTCTGCGCTTTTATTTGTGAAAATTTCTTTGAAAAAGCGAAAATTAGATATTCATATATAAAGATATTAAGTACAAATTGAAATTCAAATTTAAATTTACACATGTTGAAATTTCTCGTCTAATCATAGATTCATACGTCCATATTTACTGTATTAATTAAATGTATATAATGATGTACTATTTCAATAATTACATATCATAATTCACTATATAAATATGTAGTATAACGTATAAATATAAGGATATAATAAACTATAATTTCAACACTATTAATGGAGATATTCAATAAAAATGAGAAAGTTTCGAAAAATCTTGAAGAAACAATTGTGTTATAATTTCTTATAATTTTAACAATAATAATTAATTATACCGTCCCAATTTAACCTCCAATTTTAAATCCTCAAAGCAAGGAAAGAGAGGATGAGAGAAAGAGCGAATATATATACATATATATATATGAATTTAATAAAAAAGAAGCTATCGCATTATACATCGCTTTACAATTCAATGCGAACATCTTTCGATATTTTGTAGCAGAAATTGTTATATTACCTTCTTCCTCCATATTCGCAGGCGAGATTATTCCCTCAGACTTGGCCTCGATCCAAATTTGCTTCCTCCTACGAGTCGAGTATCATCGGCGGGCGCGAATAAGTTTTGCTTCCGCGATGCACTTCACTTTCTCCGCGACATTATACTTATCCGTTACCCTGGCGTTTCCGCGAATTCCGGAAATCTCTCCGTCGAATTTATATCACATCCAAGAGAGCAACTCGATTTCGCGCTAACTCCGTTTCTGCGCACATCAGTTATCCGGAGCGGTTCCGACCGGCGAAAACCAATACGAGGGTGTAAATATTTACTCGGCGTGGGATATCCAATTAAATTTTAAACGCGCGAATTTTATCGAATGTCAGGTGTGCAGCTCCGTTCACACATAATGTCGGTCCTTCGCGATTACTTTCTTTCGATCTGTTCCTCTTTCTATTAATATTTATTCGAAAAATGAGAGACGAGAGCGCGAGAGAAAGCACTTCACAGCAGCTCGCGTCAGCGACTTATGATTTTCATCTCGCAAATCGCGAGATTAGATTTCACGATAAATCGATATATCGATAAATCAATATATCGATAAATCGATATATCGATAAATCGATAAATTAATGAATTAATCGCACACAATAATTATATTATAACAAAATATTAATATTTAAATTATATTATATATCATTAATATTTTATATTTTTTTATAATTATATAATTATTATAAATGTATAATTATATATAATTATTATAATTACAATATAATATAATTATATTATATAAAAAAATATATATGAATACATACTATATTAATATTCAATGAAAGTTAAATTAAAGAGCGTTACTTTTTTGCACGTAATTGTAAAGTTGATTTATTTACGCGTATTATTTTCAGAAACGATAGTTTTCCTCTCGAGGGTCTCTCTCCCTTTTTCACAGACGCTGCGCCCAACCGTTTCTGCAGCCGCGAAGCCTGCAACTGGTGGCCGAATTGCCACGCCGAGATCGTCGACAAGCTTGGCTACAATCCCTTCGCGTTAACTCCGCCTGTAAGCTGCGCGAAAGCTCGCCGTTGGTGACGCTTTAATCCAGACACGACCGTCGCGAGAGCACGTTTTTGCCATCGACGTATCGTCCGGAAGCTTTCCTTAATCATAGGATATACTATTGATATGATATGAAATACACATATATTGTGAACTAGTGTAATTTTAAAAGAACAAATGAAAAAAAATATATATGTATATATATATATATATATATATATATATATATATATATTGTATATATATATACATTACAACTTGTAATTAATATTATATAATCTATATGTAATAATATCTATAATATACATATATATATGTAGAATTTGTAATAAATCGAAATTTTATTTAATCTCGCGTATAATGATAGCAAATAAATAAATACGAATTGGAATTCTTTTCGAATAAAAGAGAAATTAAAATTAATCTACTGCAATTTTTACAAACTTTATAAATTATGAATCTTGTTCGATTTTTAAAATATTTTAAACAAAGTTTAAGTAATTTTAGGCACATTAACTAAATACTGATTGGTTTTCACTTCTTGCAACGTCATTGTAATATTTGTAAATGATTTTATTATAAACATATTGAGTATAAATTATTACATGAAGCACATATAAAAGAAGTATAAAAAAGAAGCTAACATCAAATTTTTGTTAAACTTTCTATCACATATATTTATACAAAGAATATTCATTAGTTTGTATTTTATTATGACATTAAAAGAGATTGATTTCGAGTTGATTATATAAAAAGCAAAGATGTAGACTTTAATTTGAAAAAAATAGAGACATTCTTTCATTCTATAATAAAGAAATTAGACAATATATATTTATTCCGTTTCTAATGTTTTAGTTGTATGCATCTGTTCAATATATCATTTATATAAGTTTATAAAATATAAATCTTTAGAGAAATTCCATCTCTCGTTCGATACCGACGAATTTGAGTTGCTCTGTTGGTCCATATCTAGAAATTATTACACATTTCAATCATTTTATACAATTTTAATCCTAGTTAATATATCGATTTATCATGCAATATGTATAAATGTATATACCTATAATCGAAAAATAATTCTTCACCAGGTTGGATTGCTCTCTTAGCAAAAATACCTATTCTGTGATCGCCGTTTACCATCATTACTTTCGCATAACAATTTGGATTAATCGAATGATTGGCAAATCTGATTTTATTTCCTTTTCTTGTTGCATCCACGACAAAATCTATAAAATATTTTTAAATTTTATTTTCTCTTTTTTCAAAAATATCTTATCAATTGTTAATTTATATTACTTACCATTATTGAGATTGAAAAGAAAACTACACATATACTTGTCGTACACTTTTCCTCTCCTATCGGCCTCATCTTGGCTGATAATTTCGCCGCAGTACTCGGAGATGAATTCGTTCTTTGCTGCCGACTCTTTCAAAAAAATTCCCCAACCCGCTACATCTGATGGTGCCATCAGGAGATGCTTATCTGTATATATATATATATATATATATATATATATATATAGAATCACAAAGTTTTCTATCTTTGTTTTTTTAACAAAATTATAAAATTAAGTAATTAAACTTACGAAGACCACGTTGTACGCTAACGTTCTTGCAAGATATCTTAGTGATGTGGAACTGATCAGCGCCACACGTTTGGCAAAGATCCGGGTCACATTCTCTCACGGCCAAATAACACGGGCATTGCTTTGTGTTGCACTGAGCCTTACATCTGCAGCCAGGGAATCGATTCTGACATTCGCTGCTGCACTGACAGAATTTTTCGCAAAAATTTTGCGCCTGTATACAGGGACACGAGTTGTCGCACTGGCGTCCCGGATGATCGCAAGGTGCAAAGTTGTGCACGTGATTAGCGCCTGTTAAATTAATCGGAAAATCAGACAATAGAAAAAAATTCATAGGTTTAAATTCTTGCTTTATTACAATTAATGCGCATACCAGAATCCTTCTTAAGTTGTATTTTTCTGCAATGCATCGACCATAATCGATGCTTCTTCTTCTTTTTTCGTGGCGGCGTAAAGTCTTTCAGGTTCTCTATAGCAGGAATATCCGAAGCCTCTTTTTGCGCAAATTCATATACTTCTTGACACGTTTTCGTTAACATAATTTGTGCCAGTGCGCATGGATTACCGGGAAAGGCTTTGTGAAGAGCTCGGAACAAGCTCTGTTCAGAACCTGTCCACGAGAACTCGCTTTCCGTTTTAATCCGTTTGCCAATTCCTAATAGCGTGAAGGGTGTTTGGTTTTCAGGTTGCGCTTGATCTTCCATAATATCTTCAGGTTTACAGTCCTTGTTAACGTTTTGTTTAAAATCTAATTTGAAGAAAATAAAATATTTTAGAACTTTAAATAAACTCCATTTCATGATAAGTTCTTGACAATAGTTGCTTTCCATTTACATAAAAACTCAGATAAATCTCATTTCTGTCTTTCTTCAACATCCATGTTAAAGAAAAAAGTGAGATTTATCTGAATTATGATGTAAATGAAAAGCAACTAATACATTACCTTGACAACTGCCTCCTTGACCGTATTTATTGCTATCGTTGCTGTCCTCGCTGCTTGCTTCGTTTCCAGAATCTACGCTCGCTTGTTTTCGTACCTTCCTAGGACCACCACGTTTTTCGTCGCCTTCTTCCTCCTTTATATCTGCCGCCTGTGCCGCTAACTTTTCTTTCATTCCCTCCTGTATACAAAAAGTTTTAATATTTAATCTGTTTTAAAAACAAACATTACATCAAAATGTAACGTGATAAGTGACATACCAAATGCATATAACATTCTGCTCCACATGGCTCCGGAAATGGTTTCAGATCGGGTCCTTTTCGTTTCAGCAAATTCGGACCTGGATGGCAAACTTGAAGACCTACAAGCAATAATAAACTCACTACCAATTTACTCTCGTCGGCTGATTCGGTATGGTTGAATGGAGAAAAATTTAGTAGAGACACAGCGATGAATGAAATATGATTGCAGATGAGCCCTTTTGACGATGCCTCTGTGCTAAACAAAAAAAAGCTTCCGATCGATAATGCATTAGTTTATATGCAATATTGTTCTTTACCTTGCGGCGAGGTCCCCCTGGCTGCTACGATAAATCAGGAATCACAAATTATTGTAATTAATAAACTTTCAACTTAAAACACTTAAAGTAAGTAACACTAATAAGTTGTATTTCAGTGAAGTTTTCTCATGTTATTAGTATTTTATTTGTAAAAAAAATAGCACAATAGTTATTAAATCATGAGATTATATGATAAATTTTAAAAACACTAACTACATATGACATATATACTACTTTTATATATACTTCTCAAAATACAACTTAAATAATTAAAAAGATTACTTCATTGCAATGTACTCACGATGTAAGAAGCAGTCGTATTTGAAGCACCTCCTGCAGAATAAAGTATGGAAAGAATGCATAGTTTGTTCTCTAGGTACGCTTTTCGCATTTATACCATCTATATTAGGTGTACATTCTGGAGGTAAAACATTTGGATCAGATCTTTCTGTCAATTCGATATATTTTTCTTTCAGTTCCTCTGGCTTTCCTTTATCCGGAAACATACTTGATATTGCCTAAAAAATAATAATTATAAAATAATTGTATCAAAGTTATATTAATATTGTATTATTGTATTTAACTCCTCTTACATTAAATATATGCATTGAAGGAAAGGGAGTGGCCATCGTCTTTCCACTTTCAGTCTTTTCTGTCTTGCTTTCAGACTTTGTTTCGATGTCCTTTTTCTCATTTTCTCTTTGATTCTCTTTCTCCTTGAAAGATTCTTTTCCTTTCTTCACCTGTTCTCTTTCTTTATCATCCTTCTCGTAATTTGCTAAGGCATTTACCAAATCAACAAAAATGGAATCATCCATAAAACCAGATTCTCTATCGCCATGAACCTGTAACAAGTATATTGTTAATATTTATAAAATTCTTTACATAATCACTAATACAAGTTTAAACAGTGCTTCCTGTACCTTTCCATCATAATTTTTTATAAGTTCCTCGATAAAAGTACCATCTTGATCCAAAATCTCGTCACCCATATACGGAATGTTATGTAAAACAGTTTCATCTTCTACCATAAAATTCTGTTGAATGGGAGCCCATGTGTACATAGTTGGTATAGGTGTTACTGCATTAATTGTTTTTACAGGACAACTTTGAACATCGCCGTCAGGACTGGTAATTTCAGCTTTTTTCATGCAGGAAAGGTGAGATGGAATATCTTGCATTGCTAACCACATTGCTTTTCCATCTGTCCAACGCTTTTGTTCAGCTATAAGGAGTTCTATATTTAACAAAAAAACCGTTAAACTACATGATATAAAGTTGTGTACTAATAAAGTAGTAGCTATCATTATTTTTACTATATTTTACTTTATAAAAAAGGGAAAAAGAGAATATTCGGAAAAGTAATAAAAAACAACTTGCCTGTCATAACCTTCCGATTTTGATTCCACGCAATTTTGACTTCGTCTGCTCGCTTGTATCGTTTCATTTGCCGTAAACGCATGTACTCCGATCTGACCCTTTTCTTCCATTCGGCTGTAATTTTAGCTTTCGACATCGTAATTCTTATAGAAAATTAACAGTCACATTAAAAGTATACGATAAATTCCACCTGATTCCACCTTCCACTTCCACCATTCAACAGATGTGATTAGTGAATCAAGTGAATGTATCGAGTACACTATGTGCGCATGCGCACCAGCTGATGCTAATTCGATGAATGAGTGTGTGAGTAAGGAATGCGTGTGTGAATGAATGAGTGTGAGTGGCTATGTGAAGCGCGCAATTGTGTTGCATTTTAGTCGATTAATGTTAAATGTTAAAATTAATGTTAAAGTTCATGAATAGAAAAAAATATGTTGAGATATGTTAAATGAATAGAAAAAAAATTTTACTACTATACTATATATAAATATTGACGATCTACATTAGAACATATATATACGCACACAGAGTGTACGTCGTTATAGAATTTTTATTTTATTTTAAATAATAATAATTAATAAAATTATGTAATATGTGTGCAAAAATGAACGTAAATTATTATGTTAATTTGTATTAAATATACTTAACATAAATTAACATAATATCTTGAATTTTACACAAAAGGAAATTATTAAAACGTAAAATTAAATTAGAATACAAATATATTATATAACAACGCTTATATATATATATGTTAAAGAAGCGGCTGTGTAAAATATGTAAATGCTGATTATTTTAATCATGAATAAAAATAAGAATTTTATATTTTTTTATCAAGATTATATATATATATATATATATATATATATATATATATATATAATTATAATACATATCTTAAATATTACTATACATTAATGGCAAAGTCTTTCTATTGCTATATTATTATGTAATATTAATTAAAATATATATATATATATATATATATTATATATGTAATGTATAAAATTTGCTATTGTTTATTAAATAAAAGTAATAAAAATACATTGCATTATTGCAGAAGAATTAAATTTCTAAGAATTTTTAAAATACATAAAGGGAATGTATAAATTAAATATGTGGCATATGGATATATTGTGAATGTTAAAAGATGCTATATAGCAATATTGTACAAATTTATTATTGCATATTATTACAAAATTATAAGTATTACAATAATATAAGTTGCAAAATCATATTATTACATATGCATATATATGTTAATTGATTTTATATAATAATTTGAATTTTTTAATAGTACTTATTTGTAAATTTTTAATTAAAAATATTTTAAAAATTTTACTTAGAATGATTCCGCGTCTCTTTTAGATCTAGCGTAAAAAAATTTATATTTATACCAGATAGCCACAGTAATTATTATAACATCATTTTGATGGCAAATGATGCATTTGACATCAAAATGATGTCATAATAATTATTGTGGCTATCTTGATAATTGGCATAATTTTTTATATTCATATATAACTATAAATATAATTATAAATGTAAGTATAAATATAAATATAATTATTTTTAAGTATATTTATATTTATATTATAATAATTATAAGCACAGATGATATATATATATATATATATATATATATATCCTCCATAGCAAAATACCAGTGATATCACAGTGATATCACAGTGATATGCTCTGGATGTCATAGCAATGTGCGAATGTCCGCTTTGTCACAATGTAACGTCACAATGATATCATTGTGACATTACACTTGTTTGTCACAAAGTGTGATGTCACTGTGATTATTGTGACATTTTGCTATGGGAGCATATCATATATATATATATATATATATATATATATATATATATATAAATATTACATAATGATTTATAAGTATAATTATATTATAATTATATAATATGTAACATATATAATTACATGTAATTATATTATAATTATAAGTATAAGTATGGATATATAGATTAAATATAAATATAATTATAATTATGTAAATATAGTTATAAATATAATTATATATAAATAATTATGTAAATGTAGTCATAAATATAAATATTAAGTTCTAAGTATTCTTCAATATATTGAATTTGGAAGTTGATGTCAGACTATAGGCGTATATCGCTACTTGCTATTTATAATTCGTAAATCGTAGTAATAAAGCAAAAAATTATTGTTCGTCAATATAAATTTGCCACAATTTTTGCAACTCATGATCCATTTTCCGCTTTTTATACTATTTTAATACGTTTATGAATAAATATAAAAAATTTCCAATTTATAAAATATGAAGAACGTCGTATTATTAATTTTATCGTTACCAATTTGAACAAACTATTACAAAAGTTATAATATTATGTAAAATATTATACATAAAATGAGGATTTAACAAATTTTTCTTTATCTGACAAATTTTGCTCAAGTCACATATCTGAAATAAATCGCAAATATTTGCGTACAATCTAACAACAACTAAAGAAATACTTCTCGAACCAAGCTAAAGATCTAATAATATACTACATATAAATATAATATAATATTTATGAAAATACAAATCGAATAATTAATAGGGCAGCTCGAAAGTCCTTTGGGGTGGACTTATACGAATAAACAGACTCGCCAAATTGAAGTATCCTTCGTACTCGATATCATTTGGCGTGATGTCATTAAGAAAGTGACCGCCTATGTTTCCGTTTGAAGCAAAAGTGTTAAAATTCTGAACTGTGATATTACCTTCCTGTAATTGATGCAGCTTATAAATATTCATGACATATCGAGTTTGAGGCTTAGGTATTGTAAAACGTGTAGCAAAATTTATTTTATAAATAAACCAATAATTTTGTTTGTATAAGCGCGTGTGATATAAACCTACATATCAAATTTATTTCTGATTAAGTGCAGACATATATATAACTGTAATTAATTGAAAAATCAGTGAACAAAGCAAAATTTATAAATTAATAGCAGTTGATTCGAATATCAAGAATACAATCTGTTTATAAACATTATTTTAAATACCAGATGTATTTCTTTATCCATTGAAAATGTTTGATGCTTTGTAATATGTTTAGGTCTACTCAATATTGTACCAACAGCTACTAGGGGTGTAAAACTGTCACAAATCTTCGATGGTACGTTCGAGGTAAAATTAGGGCGTCGAATCTCATTTCTCACGATTCCATTATTGATAACAAATGTGCCACCTAAACCTGCAAAATCAAACAAATTTATTGTATATTATAGATGTATCGTTTAAAAAGAAACTTGCATTTTTATGTATGTATAATTATAATCATTTTGTTATAGATAAATTCTTCATAGATAGTCTTATACCTATAAAATAATTTGGTTCGCATCTCGTTTCCAGTGCTAATTGTATTACGCTCGGAAAATTCATATCAGTTTGGCGTCCTTTGGCATATATTTTAAAGACGTATCCTAAACCAGATCCATTACACATAAAGAAACTACCATGCTGAGCACATGTAACGCAATTAGAATTAGTAATAAGTTCTGATTCGCACTTCCCCTGTTTGTTCACGAAATTAAAATGACTTCTGTTCGTAACTTTACGATTCGTTGAATATATAAAATTTGTAGCGACCTAGTAGCATCGTAAATATATATAATAAAAAGAAATATTTAAGAAGTATAAAATATACAAGTATATATAAATATATATAAATATTCATAGAAAAAATTAAAAAATTAAAATAAACGTAATATTGTTATAAATTAGGAAAAATAAAGAAACAATTTGAAGTGTACATTTTACCGCATTTCAGATACTTTACAGACATTATTTGTTGCATTAAATAAAAATTGCATAAAATTATCGATAATATATACTTCCGAATTAAATGTTCTATGTGATCGGCCTGCTCCTATGACGAAGACAGGAGTTTTAGGAGCATAGAAATGATCTATAAGCTCTGTTATTTTCCATAATCTCTTTGCATCTGGCATTGGACATTTATAAAGATATTCTGGACCACCCATCTCCATAACAACAGTATTACCACTTAATCCTTTTAATAAAAATATTCTTAATACAAAGAAAATTTCGACTATTTGGTGAATTTGGCAATTGATTTTCGTACCTGGTGCCGTAAATTAAAAGGTGATTCACGTAAATCGGGACATTTAACTATACTGACGTTAGCCTCGTTAAAATGTTCTTTCAATACTGTTTCTATTTCTATTATAACATAGTAATAAATACATCAAATATAATCATGTAAGAAAAAATAGATATTTATCGGATTTATTACGAGTTTATATGAGTTCAAATATAGTAAATATGATATATATACCATTTTTAAGATTAATAAAAAGCGGTGGATGTAACTGTTCTACTTGACATGTTAATTCTGTATAATATGTATTATTTCTGGTCGCTACCGTTTCTGGAATATTTTCAACTAACTCCATTACGTTTAACTTAAAATGTTTAAGTTATACAAATGTCAAAACTTAGGAGATAAGACTGTAACAAATTATAAATATATTTTTAATATGGAAACATAGAGTTTAGATCCCAGATAGCCACAGTAATTATTATGACATTATTTTGATGTCAAAATGGTAATTTGCCATCAAAATGATGCATTTTGATCTCATAATAATTACTGTGACTATCTGGGATAGGATATTAATAATATTAAAAACAATATAATATAAGAGAATAAGAATTTCGACAAGAATACAAATAAATATAAATATATTACAAAAATATTTATTCCCTTTATCATCATAATTCCCTTCTTTTATTTTTGGATTAGTAATGAGTTGTATTAAAAAAGACAGATTTATATTTGTTGCATACGTTATATTGATCTTTATGCAAAAAAAACTCGTTTTTTTAAATATAATTCACAAAAAAAGGAAATAAATATTTATTTATATGTATTAGTACCTTCTAAATTTCCTTATTAACTAATTTAAATTATAAAATATATATATATATATATATATATTTATATACTCACTGTGTAAAAGAACGTTGTGTAATTGGTTCGTAATTGTCTAAATTCGCTTGAATTATTTTACCAATTTTGCTTGTTAAGTCAGTCCTCCAGCTTTCCTTTCGTCACGAAACGTCCGATATGAATAATTACAAGCACAAAGCATTAACAATAGAGCCTGATTTTATTTAAGCATAACGGAAAATAGAGAGATAAACAATAATAAGGTCATAACATTCCTAATAATCATCTAAACTCCTCGTAGTTTTTAATGCTTTGTACATGTTTTGACAGAATATAGCTATGTAAAACGAAAATAAATCATTACCTCGACAAAAAATATTATTTATTATTTTGGTGCTTTACATGAGAATAAAACAAAACTCTGATAATTATAGGAACGAGCAGCAGTTCGATATCATTTCTTTCATTTATTCATCATTCGTTTTTATGCACGATTTTTTGTGCATAAATATAATCGCATTGACATGTGCATGCATACATTTGCATGTATATATGGCAAGAAGAAAGATATCAGTGTGACATGGAGAGGATTTTTGTGACATATTCACAAATTTTCTTGAAATTGAAGGAAGGGAATGAAATATAATTGAAAAATTCAAAGGGGACTCAATACATATGTTACAAGAAATCATTCAAGTTCATTCTCGTTAGCAAGTCTACTCGTTTTATATGCGCAGTTTTTATATGTGGAATTAAATAGAATATACATTCAAGTTGAGGAAGAAGAAAAAAACGAAAGCATGAAAAATGTGCATAAAACGAACAGATTTACCTCATTTCTAATTCGCGAAGGAGGTAACGGGAATTTTCCATCCGCCTAAAGTTTTGAAAAATATTCAATTTCGCGATGTATGCAAAAATTTCAAGCTTCAGTACCGCATGTTCACACATGTGCGATTGTATCTTCATTAGCACTATATTACATAAATATTCGTAGCATCTTTATCAGCATATAAACACAAGAAGTTATCTATTAAATTTTATAAAGAAGTAAATTCCCAATTATTAATGACAGTCAACTAGAATTTAAATAGGAGTTTTGGAAATAATTATCGACCAAACTAGCAAGTAATAATCGTTTTTATTAAGTTTCACGACGTTTCGACCATATGATTGTGGTCCTTCTCAAGTGAGAAAATAAATTAGTAAAAATTAGCTCATCATACAGCACTGCACAATATTAATTTTAATTAAGAAATATACAAGTCAAAAATTAAACGTAAAATTGAAACTGTGAGACAGCCACAACGTATCCCAACCAAGGATAATTTTTACTAATTTATTTTCTCATTTGAGAAGGATCACAACCATATGGTCGAAACGTCGTGAAACTTAATAAAAACGATTATTACTTGCTAGTTTGGTCGATTATTTTCAAAACTCCTTTATAAAGAAGATTTTGTGGCATCTTTATCAGCATATAAACACAAGAAGTTATCTATTAAATTTTATAAAGAAGATTTTATGCGGCTCATAAAATCGTCTCTAATTAACGAGAATCAAATACAAGCCGACAATTTGATTTCATTTTCCTCTTTTTGTTCATTAATATTGTAGATGTACAAAGCAAGTTGTACATTCTATCATTCTGGCATTCCTTGTCTTTATATTACTTATATGCAATCTTTTCTGCGCAATATTGGTAACACGACTTATTGCTCCCTCTTCATGATTTCAAAAATGTGTTTCACATTAATTAATTCCAAAATACGAAACATACTGCGCGCAAATGTTTTTAACAATTCATTTAATCGCTTTATTTGTTAATCAAAACTATATATAGATTTGCAATCTTGTAGGATACGTATGATAGTCCTTCCTGTACTTTCTCGAGAAAAATACGCATACATTGTACTATAATAGAACTTTTGACGTATAGAAAAATATGACTATTCTGAGAAAGTAAATGAAGGTGTCTATTCTAATTGCTATATTACTCAATAATTTTATTTTTTCTTTTTCTCTATTATTCCTGTCTTATTATTATTTCTTTTGCCATCGACTCGCCATCGATTGGAAATCATTTTATGCTGCCAAATAGGCACAGCAAAATTCTATTGTTGAATGTATTAAGTACAAGATGTGTGTTCTATAATAAAAAAATATTATTTTAGGATATATGTATCTGATAAGAGATCGTAAGAATGCGAACATTATCACGAAACAAACATAAATTTCAAAGTCCCCTTTGATACTGACCGCATTTATATATTTAAAATTATTCACATTATAATATTTTTAGAATTTGAAATTATAGATTTTTAATTCTCTATGAAAAAAATTACAAATTATAAAATATATATTTTTATGTGGTTTTCATGTTAATGTCGCAATCGAACAGAAGAAAGACTCAATTCTTCTATTGATAATTAATTAAAATTTAAGTAGATTAACTAATTATTAGGGCAAAATTTGATTCACATCAATCATGAGAAATTCCTGATTTTTATATTATTTTCCTTTTTGTATAAAATAAAAACAAAATTTTACTATCAATTTGCATATTACTCTATGCGTGCCTCAAAAGATTATTTCTTGAAACGTAAATTTATCAGGCTATTATTCATTAAATATTATTTTTTTTTTAATTAATATTTTAGTAGATGTAGATCTTTTTTTTCTTTTGACAGAATGTACATTTTTTAAAATTAATTTTTCTAAATTAATTTTTGTTAACTATTACATAAAATACTTATCTTATTTTGAAAATATAATTAATTAATTAATTAACATCAGCTTATTTGATTAAATTATTATGACAATACATATGTGATTTAATACACGTGCGTAATATCGATTCAGGAACTTTCTCATATTACTGACAGATTGATGCTTAATCAATTACATCAATTAAGAACATAAGCGTTGGTCGTGAAAAAATTAAAAAGAAGATCGCAGTTTCTTTAATCGCTAATTATCCGTACTCTCGATTAATTCTATCACACGCTGTGGCTCTAATCCATATACGCGACAATCAACATTCAACATACAGGGAACATCACATTGAGTATGGTATATGTGTATGTGACGACATATTGTATCTACAACTTTTAACTATGTTAAGGGTGTCCTCGTGTTATAGCGAACTTTTCTCTCTTGGTTGCGAATCATCTCTCTTGTAAATGTAAGATGCATACGAGTGCGGAACATCAGGGTTACACGATCCCTCGCGAATATAGTAAGAATTTTAATAACTCTAATAATTCTCTCTAATGACAAAGCAAGAAGAATCACCAAAACGCTTGCCTTTTTTGTACAAGACTTTACAAGGCCATAATATGTTTCTTCTTGTGCTGATATTCTCCAGTACTCTTCGACACGTTGTCGGCTATTCGCACAATGTTTCTGACATTGAGATTATATAATATTATTTGCATACAATTCAAATTTTGTGACTAAAAGTGATTATATAAAATATATATGTATAAAAGAATTTTTTTCAAGAAATATGTGGAATCAATGTTAAATATTAAAGATCGACATTTGAAACAAAACAAGAAAGCTCAATATAATTTTAGAACGAGCAAATATTTCAATCTTCATAAGTGAAATGTGTACTACTTCATTGCCACTATTTCATATTTCGCGATATAAATAAAAATAAATCTGTAAATAAAATTTTTGTATATAACTTTATAATTTAAATTTGACAGCTCACAATGTGTCATGACTGAAGGAAATCAGCATCTGTACATCAGCGAAACATTTTTCAACTGCCATCTCTATGGCTGATGAGAAAATGGCAGAATTTCTTAGCGTGTCTAATTTTATAGGTCCTACGTATCTATATAATCAGTATCTAACGACAGCGATACATTAGAAAGACGAAATGCGGAGAATATTGGAAAGAACAATTCGATTGTTTTAATAGATACGCGTAGAACCTCGAAATGATCTCGAGCTAGAATGATAGATATGCTGTAGAATGTGAGAAAAGGTCGATTAATCGAGATTAAGAATTAAACGTCTTCTAATCGAAGAGGAAACTTTACGAAATGTTCTAGTCAGATTTAATTTAATTTTAACACATTTAACTACTTCTGTCCCTAATGGTGTTCTGCGGCCGAAATTATTTGGGTCCCGAATGATTATTGTAACTCGTTTAAGATCTCTCGTACAATTCCGTTTTTCGCCTTTCTTTCCTAAATCCCTCTATTCCTCCTCCTTTCTTCTCGAAGCCACTAAGCCGCTTCGTGTCGATAACACATTTTATCAATCATTAATTTAATGATTAGAGTACTTAGGCATACGTATGTAATTAAGTCGCGCATCTACGAGAATCAAGCATTCGTGGATGGGCGTCTCTTCACAACTCGTTCGAATGTGATTTTAGGCCGTACTTGAGCAGTCGCTGTTGAGAAACGGGGATCGCAAACATCGTTATTGCCGAAATCCCCGTGGGATATTCCTTCTCGCAGAATGTGACAAGATATATAGTCGAGCTGTGATCGAATGAAAATCGTAACGTTCACGAACGAAAAGAAGATCTACATAATTCGACAAACGGCTACTTATTTTTTTTTTTCATTTTTCTCGTTTGCACAGCGTTTCGCGACGAAGTAAAAACGCAGCGATATAAATCGATCCCATTTAAAGATCCTTTTTTTTTTAATTTTTTAGCAATAATAATACAGCATTATTTACGTAAGATGAGAGCTCAAAAAATTCGCGCGGATCGATTTACGTCGTCGAAACGCCGATGTACTCGCTACCTGCTAAGCAGGCTAAAAAAGTGTCACTGTCGTTTGATCCACGTGAGGACACGCGCGCAATTCCGTGAGATTGTCTCTGACACTTACAATTATAACGAGTACAACACAGATATGTACGGGAAGAGGCCGTTATTTGTGTAACTCTTAATGTTAATTAATACCATCCTCGACGAGAGAGACGACCAATCGCGCTAATATTCATTTCAACAAAAAGAACAGCTATTTTTCTCGTCCAATCTCTGGGGAACATTTTCTATTTGCGACTGGTCGACCTAATAATTTTACAATATATCGAATGTACAATTATGCAATTGTTCGCGATGTGTGCTCGTATCTAGGAATACTTTACATGCGGCTCATAGTAATACGAATTATATCATAAATATTACATGTTATTTTCTAAAGATTCATAGTGTAAGTTTGAATCAATAATTTCGATTGTCAAGATTGATACAACGTATTTGCATGTACGTATATATGCGCTCGTGTGTATTTATTTATCTGTTTGTCAGTCTATATCTGCATGTGTATCTGTATCCTTAATGATTTGTTTAATACATGTATATGTGTATTAGTAGTTGTAAATCAATGTAGAGTTGTAAATTAATGAAGACAGACTCTACGTTAAGGTACTAGCATTCTGTCGTAGAAAAATCGTAGTCGGTTTTTATCTGGGAGCGAGTGGCATGCATCTAGATTTTACTGTAAGGTAAGCTCCAACTTTGTCGAAAAACTGTTTAGAAGATTTTCAGAAACGCGCGAGAAGTGAGAGAAGCATAGCGAATTACTTACAGTTTAAGCGTTTGCTACTCAACATCTTAATCGTAAAGATAATATATAAATATAAACATAAATATAAATATATAATTTTATATATTCATATTTATTTTATATTTAATTATAAATATATATTTTATTTTTATTTATTTAAATATAAATAAATAAATATATGTGTGTATGTGTGTGTGTGTGTGTGTGTGTAAAAAATGTAGTATAAAATAGATATAGTTAAATAACATCAAACTTATAAAAATGATAATATTTTTATATGTATATCAGAAAGTTAATGTTAAATTCTCGCAAAAATAACAGAGAATGCTTTTAAACATCTTAAATGTCAAGAATCCGGAATCTAAGCTAATTGAAATCACTGATGGAAAATGATACAAAGAACAACAGTTCAATTCGTCATCCCTAAATCAATTACCATCATTGATTACAGTTTAGCACTGTGTTATAAAATGTAGATTCTCATCTCGATTTTGTAAATGCTGCATTAATATTTAGTACAGTCATAGGAGAACAAGCAGCAGCGATAGTGATAACAGTAACAACGGCATCAGTACACTGAAAAAAAATTTATTGACTTGTGACTAAACCTTTCAACTAAATTACTACTTTGTTAACTGAACATATATTAATATTTAAATAGAATATACGTTTTGTTAGATTTAATATGTTATGGTAAAATTCTTTTCTCGACCGTACTGGCAAATATTATTTATTCAATCACAATTGTGATTGAATAAATAATATTTGCCAGTACGGTCGAGAAAAGAATTTTACCTTTTTTAAATTCTGTCTGGCGATTCTCAAATATCTACGTTCTTATTTAATATGTTATATTTAATTTAAATATTTTTACGTGTTCAATTAACAAAATAATATTTAATTCAAAGGTTTATTCGAGTTAACGAATTTTGTTCAGTGTAACGATAGCTAGCACGATCGTAGTAGTAATAGTAATTTTTAGGTCACTTCGAAGGCTAGTAGAAAACGAGCTTAGAACACGCTCAGCTATTTATAAAGAAGAAATCCTTCATCTAAAGTGTAGATGATTGCATTCATACGAGAAGATTGTCCATGCGATAATCTTCATATGAGACTTTCGGCGAAACACGTCTGTCTGAATGAATTTTGTCATCTTCGTCGAAAGTTCCATCGATTTTCATTACCTTCGCCACGAATATCGTTTTTGCTTGATTTGTTTGCGCTTGTACTTTCTGTTTATGTACACATCGTCGCTTGTTAAGCTTTTACTAAGTATTTTAAACTTACTTCCTCCCGCCTTTCTTCATCTTGAATTGTCATTCGTCAAACGTATCGTTTCTATTCGCGAAACAAATCAATGAAAATACTTTCAATAATAATATACGAGTATTATATTGAATCTAATAAACGGAGGCTACAAGGTCTCTCTACTTCACGAGATAATGCGTATACGTCATTTTGGCAATATTCGAATTCGAATCCAATATATTAATAACGTCGGATATGTGTTTCTAGGCCGAGTAGATTGATTTCACGTGAGAGATATTTTGTTAATCTGCGGTAATTCTCGCAAAGGCACAACCGTGTCTGTCTCGTTTATGACTCTTGCGAGACTTGTCGCCGTTTTCGAGGCGCGAGAGACCGATGAGAGAAGCGATTATATATCGACAAAAAGTAGGATAAGCAGCCCTAATCAAGTGATTAAAAATATTTCTTCTCTTCTCATATATGTCGATCTTGCTCATTGTCGCGTTCTGCGTTTTTTAAGTAAAAAATTACTTTCTTCGGATGTGCTTATATAAGCGTTCGCGATTGAAATATTCGCCTCAATGAAATCTTTGCAAGACTCGTTCGAATCGATTGGATCTTAAAGATCCGACGTTGAACAAAATAAAATCTACCGATCTGAATATTTACAAAAATGTAAGATGAACGCAAACGTTGTTAATAATGCAACTGCGAGAGAATATATAAGAACTGCACACGTATGTATACCTATATATCGTCGTTAAGAATTTCGTTTCAACATCGATTTGCGAAAATAAATCTTCGATCGAGAACTTTCGTTGACATCCCTTAAACATCTACATATCGTTAACATCGAGTTTTAATGTGTGATATGGGATAATGACTTATCCTTACATCGTATCGTTTAAACACATGTACATTTTGATTATCCTTCTCGTTACAATTTTCCGGCACAGAGAGATGTTATGTAATAATAATATAATGCATTTATATAGGATGTCACACGCGATCCGTCGTCGGATTATCCGACGTCGTAAGAGTTTTACGTTATTACATATACACATCATTTAAATATCGCCGTCTTATTACTGTCTCTTTGCATCTCTGCGCACACACCACACTCGATATATGTATATAATAATAAATCTGTGAACCTTTTTTAACCGTTTAGATATATGACTCACACATCGTGAGGGTGCTGCCGGGTCATTTTAATTAATTATATATGTGTACGGTATTATCACGTTTATCTATTGCACTAATTATTCGGGCGGGGTAAGCGCAATAATTCTGGACAATTCATTCTGCCCCCTAATTCCGTCGCGAGACATTGTACGTGGGATTTAAACATTCACATTGACACGTCCCGAGGATCATCGTAAATTATCTCGAAGCAAAATAAGAAGTGAGAGCTTCCTCGAATTTTCCTCGTATCTTTTTCTTCTATTATATTTTCTATGAATTTTCACGCGATCGAATCTCTTCGAGATTGCTTCGTGAAATCAGAGTGATCTTCGGGATCGCTACGCGAAAAGGGACGTCGATATTAGATCTGAGAAACGTCGAGGAAATCCGCCTGATCGTCTCGCTATCAGTCTACGAGCTACAAAAATTGTGCGACTTCTAAACACCGAGTTTGGTTGATTATTATTCAAGTTGGCCGCAAACTTTTTTAGTTACCTCTGGAACTCCTTCTCCATCTCATCCGCTCCTCTCGTCACTACCTCAAGCTAATTGCTCTTCATTTTTCTTCTGTCATCGGCTCGGCCAGCGAGCCTTGAAACGATTGTCTATCATTAAGTTAAAGCAGATTGCGCCGTTCGAGATATTCCATTAGATTCGCCTGTTTTCTATCCTCATCATTTTTTTCGCATGCGAACAGAAAATTCGAATCTTATAATCTTATCGATTGTTAAATCTATATAATTTATCCTACAACTGTAATATATAGATGTAACATTTGTATATATAAATTAATATCGGCATATGTGGCAAATCTCTCAGATTTTTCAGCGTAACAGAATATGAAATATAATGAAAAATTATATATCGATTATATCAGAGCAGAGAGATCGTTTGTATTATCACATTGTAAATTTTCTGTTTTGCATCCGTTTTGAATAGAAACGCGAATCCTGGAAGCACCTCGTCGACGCGAGAGGATCAAATGGCCTTTAGTGCTCCTTGTTGATCCTCGATATTTGAATTAAAGTGTACGAAATTCGATCGAATCACTGACTGGATCAACCAGATGAAACCGCCTGCGGCGGCAGATGTCGGTCGAGTTTCGTTTCGTCATCGACGTTTCCGTCGAAATATATTTGTTTCGGAAAAAATGGACCCTTGTCTCATCTTATCAGGATACATGGCTGTATGCGGTTATTCATTGCAAAAAATAATTTCTCTTTCTTCTTTTTTCATATTGTTGTGCAAACACACTTGCGCAGGTACACCTTTATTGCTGAAATCATTACGAAATACCGACGCGAAAAGCACTCGCGGATCTCGAAAGGCGCTGATCAAAGGAACTCGGTTCTATGGAACTTATTCTGTTCTCTTTACCATCTCTTTGTATTTTTATCGAGTCGAAACGCGACGATGTTTACGCTGACGTCGTTCCACGAACGCGAATTAAAAGTGTTACATCTTTATGATTTTCGAAATTGATTGTCTTCTTGAACAATTACGATAAAACCATCTGGAGTTGATTGTCTTCTGGTTATATGATACGCGTTATTTTTTCAGATCAAGTTTGTCAAACGATATATGATCGATCCGTTCTGCTCATTGATTGTTTTTCCCAATCATTTTTTATGATAATCTCAAAGTTGCATGCTCTTCATAATAATATTTTTTAAAACTCTATTTAAAGAAGGATATTTTAGAAATACACGCCTTTCTTTTATGTATCGTTCATTATCTCTTTGCTTTATCAATCGATTTAATACACAGTTCAATTCGTTTAACGTTCCTTCTTAATCTCTTGATAGCAAAAGAAAAATAGATGTATATAGCAGAAAATAGAATTAATACATAAATAATTTTCAGCTAATCTCGATTGAGTAAAAGAAAAATATTTGTTCGTCCGAACGATATTTCGCATAATATTATGAATGAAGACTAATAAATCGTAAGAAGACTCGGAAAGACTCGGACTTCGTTATTGACAAACTCATCTTTTGGAACAACATACGTTTCATCGCTGTACTCAAGAACTCGCAATAATAAGAAACGCCGTATTTTCGTAAAGAGATCGAGAGTCATCAGCCAGCACATGATCAGCCACGATTTCCATCAAGAGATAATCTTGACGACGGACTCGCCCTCGTCCTTGAGCAAAAGGCTCAGTCTGAGGTCGAGTTCGCCGGCCTCGAGGGCCCACTTTTCCCTTAGCCATCATGGCGAGTCCGCGTTGTGCGAGCCGAGGGTGTGAATCGGGAAGAGCGGATACCAGTCGAAAATAAATTCCTTCGGCGGCATTACATCGAGGTTCACTTCGGCGCCGCCCAATCCTTGGTTGCTCTCGAAGGCCTGCTTCTTCTCCCACAGCATTACCAGCAAGTGTCTGCCCTGCATGACGTCGCAGCGACCGTATTTCAGCGTCTGCCGATACTGCGGATTCTTCGAGTGTCGTACCACGCGAGTCTTGCGCTTCTGCAGCCACTTATCGCTATCTCGTTCTCGCAAGTACGTTTTCACGTAAGTATCTGCGGAGAAGAAGAAAAGTTTCGTGCACACTCGAGAAAATACTCCTCAAATCAGACTGTTTTCAGCGTCAAGTGGAAAGAATTGCATTTCTTTCTCGTGTTGCGTGAAGCTCCAACTAATCCTCGAAATTAAGAAAAGGAATTTTTCAATGTTAGAAGTTACACGTGAAAATCATTTCGGAACAAAAATCTGTAAGAGATGAAGAAAAGCATACAGTATTTCTGACGTTGAATTTGATTCAATCGTTTTATCACTTGAATTAATCCATCATCATCATTTATAATGTAGCAGCTTCGTTAATGTATCTAATGATTAACTGATAAACAAGTAAGTCATCATGATTATTTGGTGGATTGAACGCTTGCTCGGAAAGTGCTTTCAAAACGTTAAAACAATGCATGAATAATCCAACAAGACAGAACCGTAAAAGTAACGGCTGCAAAATTAACGTTTTGTGCGAAGATAAAAGGAAGGCTTTCAAAGAAGTTATTGAAGAGCATTTTACATTAGCCGTAAACGTAAAAGCGAGCGAACTCCTGGGAATTAATGATAGTAAAGAGAAGAGTGGCACACATGTGCTCTTCAAATTACCTGGCTCCTCCTTCTCCTCGAGACAGATGTCTCTTGCGCAGATAACTTCGACTTCGAGAGCTCCCTTGCAGAGGTAGAAGCCCAGCTGCACTTCGCCGTTTTGCGCGCCTGCAATGCACATAATCTTGAATAAAGTAGATGCGATGGAAGCGTTAGTTTAGAAGCTGCTTATATATTTAAGCAAGTCTAATAGAGTATATTATGCAATAAACGTTTCAAGTGTTTCATGTAAATAAGGGTTGACAATGAGTCGCGGTTTTTGTGATCCAGCTAATATTTCTTCTATTTTAAATTGGACGTATTACCACTTATTATTTTATATCCTTTCGGTAACACCTGTCCGCGACCCAGTTTCAGGTCGACGCCGTTTTCATTTCTCGCCGACTGACTGTAACAGCAAGAAAGTTATAAATACAGTTACGTTTAGCTTAATCAATTTCAAGTAATTTTGGATCCACACTGTAAAAAAATATGTAATATATTACACACAAAAATATGTAAAATTACATAAATAATAAGTGTAAAATTACACGATAAATTATAGAAATGATTACCTTTTCATTATTTATCATGTAATTTTACATTTATTATTTATGTAATTTTACATATTTTAATGTAATTTTATAAAATTTTTTTACAGTGCATTTTTTATCGTAAATATCGCGATAAAACAATATTAATGATATATAAAGTATAATTTATTGAAGAATAGATAATAAACGCATCGTAAATATGATTCGAATAAATCGATTTGAATTTGTCGCAAGAAAGATGAGTCGCGTACCTCCATTTCTCGTCTTCGTCGGATTCGCTATTTCGATCATAAAATTTCTCAGGAATCTCCATGACGCTGTCTTTGCGCTCACCCCGCCCTACGAGTTAAAAAATATTTTTTTCACATTATTGATCATCGACCAGACTGCAATCTGTATGGCGTTGCTTACTCGTAAGCAAGACTCTGTCACGAAATTATAACTCGCATTCATCGAACAACTTACTCAACACATATAATTCTCACTCCTATTGATTATTATTTTCTAAGTGCACAACCATACAGATCGCAGTCATTAAGTTATTGAGAGAGATAATTTACACCTTTCCAACCAGAAGATTTGTTCAGTTCTACAGGCTTGTTGTTTCAAACTCAGTTTTGCGACAGATTTTTCAGATAAGCTTCCTACTGAACAATACAACTGCAAAGCTTCTTCGATCGTATAAATTTCAGTATGATTTTAATGATTTATACATTCTACTATTAATACATCACGTCTCATACATATAATTCTTTTTTATAAAATATTTATTAAAACGACGAAATAATTGACAATATTTTTTCAAGTGACAACACTATATTAATGTCTTATTCAATTGTCATGTCAAATAAATAATGATAAAAATTCCAGCTAATCTTTTTAAAGTCATATTTAATAGATAATAAAGAAACAGAAAGATCATATATGTATATCTTTACATAATTTATAATACAAATTGAATAAATTGATTCTTTTCTCGTATATTATTTTCTTTTACTTTAATACCAATTTCTGAACTGCTTATAGAATATCATGTATTTTAAGTATACTAGAATACACAATAAATTTTGTTATCCATTCGATCAATACGAATGATGCTATTGAATCGTGAAATTCAACGACCGAAGCTTCCTGAATTAGGTAGATATATGTAACAAGTTCCAACGCGTTTTCTCTACGTAGAAGTAAGATACAAACTTCGATTCTAAAGTACCAGTGATAGCAGGGAGTTTCAACTCTACGAAGAGGAAAGTTCTCGATAGCTGTAATAAGATAATTAGAAGCTCGGAGATCTAGTAGTTCGCCCTTGTTCTATCGTTAACATATTCCGTCCAAACTATAATTCTCACTATGACTTTATATATATATAGTTATTAGTTACAAAACACACGAATCAATCTTAAGACTGCCACATATTTTCATTAAAACAAAGATTATTGAAATTCTATATATTTTTCTCGTCTTCCAATAATAGGCTCTATTTAGTAATAAACAAATATACAGATTATTTCGACTCAGAAATTAACTTGTTTTGATAAAATTATAAAGAAATCAGTATAGTCTAAAATATATTTTATTTTTATTTATTGTTACAGTATCATATTCTTTCGTGCGATGTAAATTTTCAATTAAATGTCTTGAAAAATTTTAAATACATATGTAATTAAAAATATAGATAAAAAAAGGATAAAAAAATTAAAAATAAGCCGATAAAAACATAACATTGCATCAATAGAAAGTTATAATCAATACAAATAGAGTTAGTTATAATAAGTTAATTATATTAGTAAAGTGCTATTAAATGCTCAGGTCAATACAGTGCTCGAAAAACATGCGACATTACGACGACGACATTCGATTTCTCTTACCTAAGATCACAACTGTAGATAGCAACAATGGTGTAGCAGAGCAAATGACTAGCGTTCACATTATCTACAATGCTAATAATGCATTCCGAAGCAATTATTCCGAAGCGTTACCTATTCACTCTAATTGCAAGAAACGGTTGGGAAAAGATAAGCAAGACAGGAATCACGAGGGTTTGCAGAATAGAATATATATAGGACGTGGATAAGGTACTTTTTGCTTTCTACTCACCTGTCCGATGATGATTCGAAATGGCACAATTTCCGAAATGTATAAGAAAATACACGTAAAAATAACGATAGCAAATCGCAAATTATTCATTTATTCGATTTTGAAAGTTGTTCAAGCTAAAGTTATGAAAACTTAAATGTTGAGTCGTTATCGTTTTAAAATAATTTAAGAATATTCGACTTCATGCGCGTTTATATGTACATATTTTTTTCTGCAAAAATGTTATGAGATTATATATTACAATTACAATAATTTTATTAAATAAATTAAATATACTACATTAAAATTTTTGACAGTAATAATAAGCTTGAATAATAATGTCACGCGATAAATGCAATTTGAACGAAGACATTGTAAATATTTTGAACAATTGTCTCATTTAAATTCATGAAAGATATAATCTTAAGAAAAGGGAGAAAAAGATGAATGAGTTAATTAGAGAGAAGAGGGCAAGAAATTACATGTTAAAACTCTTGGCGATTAATTAGATTAATAAATAAAAATAGAGAGTAAAATGTGAAATACAACTGTAAAGTAAGAATTTAATGATATATTCGAGAAGTTGGAAAACTAACAAAAGTATAATTAATTTCGTTGTAAAAAATTATATTTCGATAGGATTACGAAGGGAAAGGATGCGTCTGCGAAAAGAAAGAAATCACGAATGAAACAGGGGAAGTTTATTTTCTCTTTGTTTTATGATAAATGATGTTACGTGAATCTCTGAAAAATATAATGTGGCTTGTGTATCAGGGAGAAGACAAATTAACAGTACGTGTGTGCAAAAAGGGAGAATTGAACATAGATAAAGTAATAGCGCAAAAATAAAGTATATACGTGGGAGATATCTCAGAGATGGCATTTGCTCTATAAAAAAAAGCATTGATATATCATTTCGAATATCTTTTTTTGTGAAGTACCTTGTCTACGTCATTGATTAATAAGAATTGTAAAGAAGAGCGGGAGAAGAAATAAGGGAGAAAATAAAGGTAGAAAATAAAGATAGAAAGAAAAACAAATGTTCAATATGTGGGCGTAAAGTAGATAGACGAGTTTGTTATCCGCAGACTGATTATAAAAATATTTCCTCTTGTATAAAATTTCCAGAATTATCCAAAAGATGCTTTTCTATTTCGATTATAAAATTTATATCATTAAAAAATTAAAAAATAATTCAAACGCTGTTTGTTAAAAAACGCGTTTTGAATATTTATATATTTATTGATACATTATTATATTTACTATTTAGAATTTATCAAAAATATAAAAGATTTATTGTATTTTTTTCTCAAATACACGTACTGAAGCAATTAGTGGAATTATTATTGTATGTGTGTGTAATAAGCAGATTTTTCATTTTCTAGAATTATTTTAATAAAAAAATTTTATGGACAGAAAAAATAATTTAAAAAATACTGTTACATTTAAAGATGCAATCTGAAAATTCCAGAACATATAAATTTTTAGATTCTGCTTCTAATTCTCGATCTGTTTGTATCCCATTATCGAATGTTCGCAGACTGTCCCATATTAACAAATTTGTTTTGTATATATATGTGTGTGTGTGTATAAATAAACCTACCCCTATTTTCTTTCCGCTGCGGACTAAGTAACGACGCTGTTGTTAAAAGGGGTAAACTAAGGGAGGCAGAAATTGGAAGCGAGATCCTGCCTAAGGTATATACAGTAGAGATAGACGGAAATTGGCGGAGAAAAAGAGCGATAGACAGTGAACGACAGAGAAAGATGTCTTACCGGAAGCCCGTAACGTTGGTTGACAGTGCCCTGCGGTTATTTATCGAGGTGGTATTGAGTGCGGCAGTGGGAAGGAGGCCGAGTTACCGGTCCTCGGAGACACAGGCTCGCACTGCCACACAGTAACTGTTGGGACTACGCACTCTGTTGTCGTTGTTGGTGGTCGATGGTGGTTGTATTGGTGGTTGGTTGATTGGTTGGTTGGTTGATTGGTTGGTTGGTTGGTTGGTTGGTTGATTGGTTGGTTGGTTGGTCGTGCGTGCGTGGCCCACGATTTGTCGTCGATAATCGGGGTCGTGACGATGGCCGATGGCGTTTCGACCGAGCGAACCGAGTATTTCGTGATTCGAGTCGAATACGAAGAGCATTCAGAGTTTTGGCATTGGGCGAACGGTGCCGAGACCGAGAAAGGATATCAAGAGAATCAACAATACAGTGAGATGCGTTCAAGTTCAAAGTGCACGCCAAGCTCGAGGCAATGCACTTATGCGAACGAAGATGCACACAGCATGTCAACAGGAAGTCGCGGATATGAGGCGACAGAGACTGATTGGATGATTGCGATTCTTTGGTGGCGCCGAGACGAGCTTGATAATCTCTTCGCACGCAGTGACTCAACGAGGTGGATGTCGCACACGCGAGATAGTTTGAGCAAAAGGCGGAGAAGAGAGAAGAGAGTGAGAGAGAAAACATGAGTAGACAGAAATAATTATGAAAAGCACTTTAACCACCGTTTTAAATTCGTTATGCCTTTGTATATATTTCCCAAAAGTCAGCTACCTCATTTCTCATGTAATTTTCAGCCTATCCTTCCTCATGCTAAATAATGAAAGGAGTGTCGACAATTTCATGTTTATTCGTTCAACTAATGGAATGAACACTTTATCTCGCAAACATTTCATGTCACTTTAATTACGTAGATTTTATCATACATTTCAAATATGTATTAATTTTTGGACCCATTATTTCATAAATGCCCACACGAAAAAATCATTCACGCATCCACCCCGTTTCAGTCGGAAGCCACCAGCTAAAGCAACCTGATTAAGCCTGAACGAATGAAGAAACGATAATTTTGCTGACAGAACGATCAGCAGCGCATCGCTATTATGACAGCTTGGCACGGCTGGTGTCGATGAAGCAAACAACACTCGAAGGTGTGGATGAGAGGTTGAAGAGCTAAGAGTAGACACAGAAAGAGAAAGAGAAAGAGAGAGAGAGAGGGAGAGAGAGAAAGAAAGAGAAACATAAAGGTCACGACGTTAGAATCATACAACGTGCGTGCAACAGCACAGGAGCGCAATAGCGTATTATATGTCTTCTGCTGTTCCGATTACGTTGATGGTGCTAGAGATAATGCACTTTCTTCCGCTTCTCGTGAAAGCGCGAAGCATTGCGAGAGAAGGTATTTCCGGTATTTTCGGAGTCGTTACTCTGTCAGGCTGTAAGACGATACGAGCAGTCAGCAACAGGCACAACAGCGGCGCGCAACAATAATTGTAGTACAAAGGAGCGGAGAGCACAAATCGCATTAACTTTTGCTTGGCTGGGATGGAGAGAGAACATAGAACTTCCGTCCGTGAAACACAAGCCGAAGCGAGAGAGCGACAGGAGTACGGAAACGTGGAATATGAACTTGGCGAGTTAAACGATGTCAGCTCGTCGACCGGGACGATGACTCTTCGAGTGATGTATAAAAGCGAGAATGATGATTGACGAGTGAGAAATCAGCACGATGGAGATCATTTTGCTTGAATTGCGGATGGATCCATTAATGGTGATAGAAACGCTTCTACTTCGATTCTGGCTCGATTTCGACGTCAACATCGATCAGTTCCTCGCAATTCGGTGAACGCATATATGTCGATAATTGTTGGATATTTTTACAACGTAAGTCTGGAATATATTGTTGGATATTTATAGCGGAATCCAGGAATGAAGTAGAATCGAACATTAAGCGTATGTGAACGATAAGACGACGCAATTGAAGACGCAAAAACAGAAGGCTTTCGAAAGCGATCATCGTCATGGTCGACGTTAGATAACAAGTCTGAAATCAATCTGATCCCGAATTCCCGAAGTCGTGTTGAGGTCCTTTCTAGGTCGGGCTGTTCCCGCTCGGATACGTTACATAAATTGATAAACGTATATGACTTTTGGCAAAGGAAGGAGAAATTCCTCTGCGTGTTAGAAACGTTCGCTCGGTCAAACCGCGCAGGATCGACAGGACGTGATAGTGCGAGACAGATAGTAATTTGCATAATAATTGCCGAAAACAAGAATATAGAAAAACTTTACAAAATGGTACGATTTGTGGACATAAACGTGTAGATGCGGGTTATATTAAATGCGATCGAAAGAATAATTATCAAATAGAACTGAAGAAAAAGAAATGTAGGATGATTTTCGACTATGTTGTGCATATAATACATAATAAAAAATCCTAGAATCATCTCTACCTAGACATCTCTTTACCAAAATTATTCGTCGTAACCATTATTACGAAAAAATATCCTGTTTTGCTTGTATTATATAATAAATAACATAGTAATATATAAGAGATCTAAAAAAATAAAATTAAAAAAGTTTAGATTTACACAAGTCATAATTAATTATATTTATATAAATGACATCTTTTAAACTTGTAAAAAATATTCATTTCCATCCATTTTAAAATTTTATAAAAATTTATATTTTTCTACTATCTGTCCTTTTTAATTGCGAAGGAAAGAAAAAAAAATATATTTAAAAAATCGTGAGATGGTGATTATAAGTTGCAGAAACTGCTGAGTTTTTAATACAAAACTATTTTATAAAAATCAAAGATAAAGAATAAAAAGAAAAAGCATCAATTAAAAATATGTAGAAAGAAGGAAAAGCAGACAGATGATTCGTTTAATGCAACGAATGCGATTAGACGGTCACGTATGAGACGATGCATGAATACTCAGTATGTTCACTCACGCGCACACACACTTATATACATTTAAATGCACACGATATGCATATGATAGACTTTCATGTAAATGAGAGATATCGGCTGTTAATCGGATTAGATGGTGATAATGGCGCGACAGACCGACGAGAAACGTTAAACAACAATAACGGTGACAAAAGGAAGAACAAGAGAGAAGAGAGAGATAAAAGAGAGTGTCACAAAATGCAATAGTAAAAATGATGGTGGAGGTGGTGACGAGCGAATGGAGAGGTACAAAGACAGACAAACAGACGACGGACGACGGACGAGACGAACGAGCGAAATGATGGCCAAGAGAAAGCAAGGAAACGTTTATACTCACGGCTGCCGCGTCTCTTGTCGCCGGTAAGGCTCATGGTCCTATTGAGCTCACCCTTGGCCGCCTTCAGCGTTCGCAGACCCTCCATTATCTCCTCAGGATCCCTCATCGGTCTTGTGAACGAGCTACGCCGACGATCACGATTGTAATGTATGGGAGGCAGGTCGGCTTCGCCCATGCTTCCACCTGCAAAGTAAATTTGATCAGATTTCATTAGACGGTGATTAGAACAATACATTAGACTGACATCGATGCTATCTCACCCTTCATTCTTTAATTTCTTTTCATATAGGGGAAATGAATATTATTGTTATTATTATTATTATTATATTTATCTGTATTTGTCTTTAAAGCTACTTTAACACTAACTTTCATGATACTTCGTAGTGCATCGATTTTTGCTGTTCACAACATTTTACATGAGCTTTTTGCTGAAGCGACGTAATCGAATAGCGATAATCGAGGAAGCTGTTACTTAAGCGTACCAAGTACTTCCAACAAGCACTCGAAGATACCGAACAATAGCATCGCCACTGGCTAGCCACTATGTCGTTATCATCTTTGAAAAGGAGCAGAAGAAGAGTGTGCTTGCTTGAAGATAAGAGCCTTCTGCAGCTTGCAGCAGAAGAGGGACACAATTTATTGGGTCGAGTATTTGCGGATGACATGAAAAGTTTTGGTAAAAAAGTCTTTTTAAAATCTAATTTTTTATTTTCAATATATACATACATATATATATGTGTGTGTGTGTGTGTGTATATAATTTTACAAAATTTTTTTTATAGATAAATAGTTGAATGAACAAATATTTAATATTCATTTAATTAATATACCTATTTCATTTTTTTTAATAACTTCTACACTATTAAATGCTCTCGTAATGAAGTGTCGTATTAGTCTCTCTTTACCGGGAAACCAATGGAATTTCTTCGACAATGATGTATTTACTAACACGTCAGTGCATTCCCCGGGGGAGGAAAAATGGCTCGCGTGTCGAATGGTTCTCGTGTCGATACTCACGTTTGCTATCTGTGCCGCCCTGACTCTGGAAGCTGCTTCTGCGGCTACCCGGCAGAGATCTGCTGTAATCCCGGCTGAGCTCGTAGGGCTCGACCTCGAGCTGTTCGGACTGGCTTGAGCCGCGTCTGGAATTGGCATGCCAGGCGTGATCCGGATGCAGGAAGCAGAACTCCGGGCTGCCACTGTCACTCTGCGTGTCGTCGCTGTAGCTACGATCCCGCAACTCCTTCCTCAGCAATCGTTGAGCGATGTCCGTCGATAACGAACCGCGTGGCGAGCAGTACGGCGTTTTGCCTGTTCTAAGCCCGCGTGGATCTTCCAATCGATACCTAGATATCCAGGAATCACACTTTTTGACATGTAAACTCGAAAATTTACGTTGTCATTTTCATTCATTTATAGCCGTCAATCTGCGCGAATGCGCTTGTGTGATTTATAAGCAGTTGCATTCATCACTTTCGAATATGATTTTTTATTATTTCGATTTTATACGCAATAAATTAATAATATAATATATTCATAAAGAATATTTAAAAAATATTCTTAATAAAAAACAATAATTATATTCAAATTAAGATTGTTCTATTCAATTTATAGTAATAATTTAATAATTTATTTAAAATTTAGAATAACTCTTGTATAATAATAATAATTATAATTTGTGATAATTCACGGATCAGTCAGTTACAGGCTACACTGTAAAAATATTATGCCTTTCGATATAAAGAGTTCTCCAATGTTCGTTCTTTGAGAGATGCACTTACCAAACCGCTCGATCATTTTCAAGCGCTCGCTGAACATCGACAGTGCATTCACCGAGAAACACATTATCACCATCAGGACAGTAATCCCAGAGAGTCACCTCGATCGCACGTTCCATCAGGCTCTCGCCATCAACTCCGGTAAAGAACAATGTAGCGTTCCAGATAGGTTTCTGGGTCGGCTCAGCCACGATAGTCTTTAGCGGAGCTGCATCGCCGCTGTATGAAGGTCACAAGTAATTAATTAATCTCTCAATTTAAATTGTCGAGAAGCATAAATAATATAATAATAAATTACGAGGAAGAAGTTAAGTCTCTTGGTGTATAAAATTCTCTAAAGGCATTAATTATAAGATTATTATAATAAAAGGTAATTATGAGAAAAAAGTAGTTAATCATTTACGTAAAACTACTCTTAAATATTCAAAACGTTGTTTTCATTTTATATAATATAATTTTATATTATATAATATAATATAATTTTATATTATAAAATATAATCTATATATGCTTGTATATCACAAATTTATATATGGTATATATATGATCCTTATTTTGTTTTGGTATATAATACGAATTTTACGCGATTATAGAAAGGGATTTCGTACAAGTCCAATGGTGTTGGACATGTCCAATCCGAAAATTTACGAGATCACCGAAGAGATCTTACCATGGTGGGGCAAGGATGAGCTTGGCGAAAGCTTCCGGCAAGATGCCGAATCCATCATCTTCCCGAGCACATAAGTCGTCGGCCATAAAAACCGAAACAACCAATTCTTTTCGTTCTGCCTTCGTACGAAACCTGGATTTGTATGCGACCAGTCACCTGTCTCTCTTTTTCTATTTGTTCCTAAAATATAGGAAACCGATATTAACATCTCCGATATGTCAAAATCTAAAGGGTTCAAGATTTCTGAACCTGCGAATGATGACAAATGTTCCTTGTTTTTTATTTATAATTTAGATAAAATTTACAATTATCAAAATAATGAGTTAATATTACAAAGTTACAAGATTTTGAACACATAGTAAATATTAAAATTCGAAGAGAAATAATGACGATTTTAGGAATCAATAATTTTGACATAGATTGGAAACAATATTAAATTATATTCATTAAATCAACACACACATTTATGAAAATAATATCGAGAAAAGTGCTTAATTTAAAGTTTAAAGTACCCGAATCTTAAGCTAAAACATTTTGAAGGTTTTTTAAAAATAGAACTTTCGTGACCATTCGCGGCTGTCATAAGGAGCTGGAAGCAGAGTTAATTTTACATGCAGAAGCGGTTTCGCGGTGGAGTTTGTTTAAGAGATAAAACGAAGATGAAAATGGGAAAACTAAGAGCAGTCCTCGAGGTTTAGTTTTATTTAGTGTCAAGATCCATTCCGTGTTACAGATCATACAACATAGCAATCATGGATGTGTATATATGTGTGTGTATAGGGATGTAGTCCTAGAAAAAGTATAATATTATAAAATTAAATTAATTTATTAAATTAAATTAATTTTATCCTTTTAAGCTATTCACAGATTGATAATCCGTTCCAACAAATAATAAAGTATCTAGAAATTTAGAAATCCATAACTACAATTTATCTTAGTATTTCAAACTTTCTGAAAAATTTCCAATTTTTGCATTTATAAATTTTTGAATGTTTATATTTCTGTAAGTCTATTTTAAATTTTGTTTTTTTACTAGAGAGACAGCATATATTGATTATAAAATTGATCTTACTTCGATATTTTTGCAGTCATTTCTTAAAATAATTTTAATATATTTACTGTTGAACACTATATTTAATATCTATAATTAAACCTTTCTCTATATTTATTTTATTTATTATAGAAGTACTTAATAATAGAGAAGAGACTACAACCCTAGACGTGCGGTACAGTCAAGAAAAACGTTCGTTTGAACAGGCCTTTGTTAATTCTCATTCATTTCAAATTTTTCTTTCGCTATGTACGATTGACGATTTATATAATCTCCTCTCGGTCTTCTTCTTCTCTCCTTGTACTTCTCTTCCAACTTGTTTCCACGACATCCTTCACACGTCTTCTCTGCAATTTCAATTTTCCGTATTTTCCCAAATCGTTTATAATCGCGAAAACATAAGTAATCCATTATTCTTTTTCTTTTTACGTACGGTTTTCTCGGACTGTAAGTTTGATACGTATTTACATATATATATATTTTATATATGTATATATATATATATATATATATGATTTTACTATTAAATAAGAAATTCTTTTTATGCGCAAGCAAGAAACATCATATATATCGCAACGCGCTTCTTCGGCTGCAATAAGTCATATTATGACGTATAAAACAATGATATATTTGTCATAAAATATTTATGCACGATTTTAATACTTTAATGATCGAAATAACTTTATCGTATTCTCTAGCATGTTTTCTAAATGAAAACTTGTTTATACCACGTAAATTGATCGTACTGCTGTTGCATTTATGAAAACGGAAACCAATTGATATTATACTACTACTATTTCTGTTAAGTGTGAAATGGGATATGAATTTGTGATATGGGTATTTCATATCCTAATTTTGAAACTGAAACTGAAATTTGATATCATGTGATAATTCTATAAAGAAACTTCTCCGAATATGCTAATCTCAGAATTAAATTTTCACATGTCATATAAAATATATAGTATATAATATCCCGCATAAAATAATACGTACAAAAAACATTAATTTAAAATATATAATCTGTATTAAGTTTAAAATTTAATAAACTTATAAGTAAAGCCTTAAATTTTGAACAATATTACACAAAACATTAAACTCTAATTTTGCGAATAAAATTCAAGATTAGAAAACTAACAATAAAAAATCAATTTTATTGTTAAAATAAAATTTTAATATATAATATATTTTGAAAATATTTTGTATAACTAATGTAAAATACTTTACTAATAATAAAAAATCAATTTTATTGTTAAAATAAAATTTTAATATATAATATATTTTGAAAATATTTTGTATAACTAATGTAAAATACTTTTTCAAGCATATAATAAATGGAAATAAAAAATACGATATAAAAAGATAATTAATAATTATAAGACAAGGGAGAGTTCAAAATTATACCTGAAGATTTTTACAGACAATCTTTACTAACAGGTGCGGTCTCGGTAATGAGAATAGAAAAGTTATCGCGAAGAAACCAAAGATGAAAGAATCTTTTATCCCGATTTAAAGTAGAAAGTAAAAAATGAATTTTAATGAAGATGACGAGATGAGATTCTGGAAAGAAATCACGACGAAAGTAATCTAACCATCGAGTTTCTCTATTTCCATTATCTCTTCATATAATAATTTCATACATTAAAATCATCGCGAGCAAGTTTTGCTACTTAATAATCATCGTTGGAATTAAAATTTAAAATTTATGAAAAAAATTACCTGAGATATATTCAAATATACTTAACAATTTTCCTCTTAAGAGATTTCAAATTTTTGTGCTATACATTATAAATATTACCAATCATTTATATACAGCGTTTCTTAAATTATACATCCTTTAAAAAACGGATAATGAAAAATATTCAGATCAATTCTCGCATGTAACATACACTGAAAAAAATATTTATGTAAAATTACATGATTAAGCTAGGTTTTTTTCCGACCCAGCATAATTATGCAATATTGATACTTATATGGAAGATTACAGATTATATGTAATTTCATATAAAATTTATTCTTAAATATTTTCAAGATTAAAAATATTTCACTGAACATGTAATTATACATAGAAAAATGTTAGTAATGTATAAATGCTATAAAATAATGTTATAAATAAAATAGATAAATACTTATAAAATAAGTAAAAATAGTAAATTTAAAATTACATATAATTTTTGCATAAAACTAGTAATTTCACCTATATTTTACATGTATTTTTACATGTATTTTTAATATGTATTTTCACTTTAAAACAAATGGAAAAAAAATTACAGTGATAAGCAAGTAACTTTTCCAGTTTCGAACCAGTAATTTCCATACAAAAGTACGTGGATTTTTTTCAGTGTATACCTATATATTATTCCGTTTCTAATCTTTATCAAGCATCTTCCCTACGTTGGCTACCATCTACGCTATAATTATACGTGCACAGGTTCTGTCGAAGCCGAAGAAATGTCGTTGCGACAAGCGTTGATGTACAATGTCAGTCTGGGTTGTTTCCAAAGCTCGCATTTCCCAAGTATAGCAATTAGTGTTGTGCGTTTCTCTCCGGAAACGTTCATCCGATTGTACGGGGAATACAAGTACGATCTATTAAATCTACACTCGCATATATATACTAGGGAGAGCGAGAATGTGACAACAACCAAACGCCCGCGTTTCTTCCCATCCGAGCAAACCGAACGCTAAAGATTACCGTGAAAAATAATCTGACGAGCTCGGCTCGGTGATCTTTCGACCATTAAACGGAAATGCTCGCAATTCCAAAATCCCCGCGACAATAAGAACTAACAGAGTTATTGAACGTCCGTTTGCATTCATTCGCCGATCGCGTTGCATATCGATGCAGCGGACTGCAGCGGCATTGACGTACAATTGTGAGCACGTGACGTGAGAAAAGCTCGTAGAGGAGACCGAAAAATCATCTTTCTTCCCCGTCAGTACATGGTCTGATCGATCGCAATCGCGAGCAACGTCGCGGACGATGCGTTCGGACGTTTGGCATTTGTGCATCACTCAGGACGAGTTTGGTGTTCGTGTGTCTGCGCTCGCAATCAAAATGAAAAATAGCGGATAGATGGGAAAAAAGAAACGAAAATAGCCATATAAAATTACGTATGTTTGTGTGTATAAAGATACAGAGAGAGAGAGAGAAAGAGAGAGGGAGCCAGAGAGAAGTTGGTACAGACGTCGATCTATAAATTGAAATATCACTGAGCTAAACAACGAGGCAGCCACAGACTTACGGGGAAATTGGAAGAGAAAAAGAAAGAGGTGAGAGAAACGAATCGCAAGGAAAGAAAGAAAAAAAAAACGCTAACGTACAACTATAATTCGTGCCAGTTGGGAGAGAGTAGCGTGGAGGGCCAATATGCTAAACTTGCTCAACATGGACAACTTACATTTCGTCTTTTTCATTTCTCTTTCGTCTCAGCGGATCTATTGCTTTTATCTTTTTATTTCTGATCGTATTGGTTTTTTTTTTTTTGTATTACACGGTGCGGTCGGCTTATGTCAGCGGGTATATACAGGGAGACACACAGTTGCATGTATATATATGTATATATATATGTATAATATAAAGAAACGTAGATGACATCGAGTATGTACATACGTATGGGCGGAAGTAACGGAATTACTTAGAGTAACGTAGAGAGTGAAGAGACGGAGCACACAAAGTATGTAGAAATCCAGAGAGGAGTCTCGTGTAAGTCTCTCGTACATCGGAATGAGTGTGAAGAGTTAAGAAGTAAGAGTAGAGAGCAGAGTTCAGAACACAGAGTAATAAAAAAATTAGAGACGGAGAAAAAGGAAATAAGAGAGAGAGAAAATGAGCAAGAGAGAGAGAGAGAGAGAAGAAATATCTGAAATAGCTGAACGAGATTAAAAAAAGAGCTGTATATGTGATAAAGAGAAAAAGAGAGAATAAAACAGCGGAACGCGACAGATGGATATACATTTATACATATATATGATCTTTCTCTGGCAGGGTAAAAATTACGTAAAGAAAGATCGAGTGCCACAGCCTCCGTGTATGCATACAGTCGAGTTTCTTCCGCGAGAATCTCTTTTTTTTTTTTTTTTAGTTTTTCCGCCGTTTCTCCTTTCTATTCAGGCCACTCTTTCGAAAATGCGAGAAGAATAATTCTCACATCGCGAAGTCAGGATTTAAATCTCTCGTAGAGGAAAGCTGGAACAGTGTCGGGGCAGTTTTGCGAAGGGAAATTAATGAGCGTTTGCCCATTTTATTTATAAAAATAAAATTTGCCAAGTAACATATATATAATATTCTCTAAAATATTATATATTTTCTGTATAAAAATGTAGCTTTCATATTTATACAAATAATATTTCAGGTGGTTATTTTTTATCAGGTAGTTATTGGAAAATTGTACAGTGTCAAGCTAAACTAGGAAATTTGAAATAAAAATAAGTTATCAAACTAAATTTAATAACGTCCGAATTTTTTACCATTTCGAAAAACATTTCGAATTTGAAAATATTAAAATGTTTTGAATATGTTGACAGGTGGATTGCACAATATCCAGTTGTGTAAAAATAATATCATACGTAACATTTTAATATTTTCGATATTATACAATATGCACACGATATTGATATAACAAATAAAATTCGCTCGACACTATTCCATTCCCTTCGAAAGCAAAGTCCTGGATTTTTTAAAAGAAATTCGACTCACGTGTACTTCGCAACGGATCGCTTTCAGGCGATTTTGGTCCGCGCGAGATCAGCAATGAAGCAGAGAAAGGAGAACAGCAACGACACAACTCGCCCCAACTGACACTTTCGTTCTTTTTTTTATGCTACGCGTCTTTTTCCGAATTTTCTTGTTGCACTCGCGTTTATCGCGTTTATCGCATTTTGCCTCTCTTTAGAAAACGAAAAGTGAAAAGCGTGACATTCGTTCTCTCTCACGAAAGCGACGGGCACGCTCGTGTGCTGCCTTTTTCTGTTTTTTTTTTCGCCACCACGTACGTCACGTTTTGGAGAATCCAGCATATCACTATCATCTCCGATTTTATCTCGAAATACCTCGCAAAGAGGGATTCAAAAAATTGTAGGGACTTTCAAGCGCGAGTAAGGAATTTTGAACTTTGTCTCGTTTTGTCAAAAAAAAAAAAAAAAAAAAAAAAAACGTCAATTATTTAAGGATTTTTAAAGACAATGAGATTTATGAACTTTGGGTCCGTTCATAGTTGGAAAATTTGTGTTTTCTTGTTAAAAACGATCCCCGTTAAAATTTTTGTGTTAAATATTTAACACATTCATGTGTTAATTTAATATTGCTGCTGTGTTAATTGAATTTAAATGTTAAATTATTAAGACAACTGAAGAAATATGTTAAAATAAATAAAACAATCTACATCTATTTTTAATTTTACACAATAAATATATTCTATTTCATTTTAGTGACAAGATTTATCTGTTATCATTTACAGAAAAAAATGGTTATTTTTTTATTTTATAATTGTTAATTTTACACAAAATTTATTTTAAATTTCTTGTAGTTTTGCATTTATTTTGTTAAAATATTAACACAGTATTTGTGTCTCCATTTAACATATCCATATTATGTTAAATTAACACAAAAATTTTTATGGGCCATTGACATGTGATATATGCTAAATTAAATATAAATTTTTCAACTGTGTTACAAGGTATGCGATTTTACAAAATTAACAAACGTTTGCTGTAATTGTAGAGCTTGCGTTGAAGAATCGATAAACCCTGTATTTATTGTTAGCCCTAAGATATTATTAAACATTATTAATATATTAATAGTTATAAAATTTATATACGACTATCTATATATTGTTTTCCACATAGATATTTATATATATATATATATATATATACTGACTAATTACATTATTTAACAAACAATAGATTATAGAAATCTCTACATTCTGATTCGATAAGATTCAGTTTTCACCTTCCCTATGTTAGCAAAATTCTGATTCATGTCCGTTACTTGCTAAAGGCGTTTAGAATCGACGCTGCAGTATCTAAGGTAAAATATCGATTATTACACGTGCAAGCTCTATAAATTGTCAAGTAATAGATATACTCATATTAGAGATATTATTTATGTATTTGTCTTATTTTTCATCAATTCGACCACCGACGAAACGTACGGGTCGCGAAAGAGATTTCTCAGTGTACAACGCGTTAATATGTTCCTCAATTAATAAAACCGCATTTCGTTTATTAATGAACTCTGTCGATTATGAAAAAAGTATATTGTTTTACATATTATTTAATTATTATATTTTAAATGCATTTTTCTTTTCCTCTCTTACATAATTACTTTATAAATATACATATAATGACGAGAGTATATAAAATCAGTAAGAGAGAGACAGAGAAAAAGAGAGAGAGAGAGAGGGAGAAAGAAAGAGACAAGTTCGAGAATATCAAATTATACTACAGAAATAATCAGCTGATATATAATAAATAAACGTCAACTTGTAAAAAAGAATTTAAACGTGTGATAAGCAATTCTTGAAATCATATCTAGAAACGAGAGATGATAAAAATAATAAAACTACGTTACCAATTTTCTCCCTGTCCAGAAATTGTGTCGAGTAATAAATGTAGCCGTCTGACGTTTGTAAAGAACTTGGCGCGTTTGCGAGCCATAGACATAAGATATATAGCACAGATTGCACGTATTCTATTTTGATCATATATGTATGTAGTTTACATTGAAAATAAAAAGGGCGCAATTATATCATTTTTATTTTTCTAATTTCAGAGCGTGTCGCTATCTACTTTATTATATGTCTATGACACGCGCGCGAAATTGAACATGTAATAAATATAAATATATCATATATTATTATTTCAACGATTTTCGCGTTGTCAATTTTTCCAGAGACAAGTATGACTCGAAAGTGAATTTTTGTGTGATAAACCAGTTATTTCAAATAATATTAGTTTAGTCTCATTAATATATTAATTATACGTGTTGCATTTTCCCGCGCTTTACGCGCGAAACTCGACGGTCACGTGACCGCTTCTTGCAAGCCTCGGTCACTCGGCGTCTCGCGTCTATGGGGGGTAGACGTCCCGGCAAGTCGCGCGTCTTTTTTCGTGTCCTTGAACAAATTTCGGGCATACGCGAGTCTCGAATCTAACAACGGGCGTCGTCTCCTTGCATTAAATCGGTTTGTTCAATCAGCACGCGTCGTGTATAATATTTATTTCCGTGTCGTTTCGCGTTTCGTCGAATCGGCCTTCGTCGGACAAGGATGGCAAGAGGGGTCTCTTGTCCGATACGAAATATCCCGCAGTGCTCCAGCCAGCATCCGGGCATCGAAAAGCATCGAAGGGATCGCGTCGAAGGAAGGCGGCACGCGACAAGGACCGGGATCTCGTCCACGAAATTCACATAAACGGTCGCGTTTGCCATGATTGCTCCGCCGCAATATTCATGCCGGTCACGTCCGCCATGATGGATTGATGGATACGTCACGCCGTTTCTCGCGGAATTTCACGCGGGTAGAGACAGTGCCGCGCGCAATGCGAGCCGGGAAGTGTCAAACTTTACGGGACATTTTTTTACAGTGCATCAATTCGGACTGCTCGACGACTGCCAAGTGCGTTTTTCGTCACGCGTGATCGACGTCGATCCCGGGAAAAGTATGTGCATACGCGTATTTCGCGAGTGTTATTCACGAGCGCGATTGAGTGCCGAATAAATGTACGGACGATGGTTTTAACCTATAAACTCTGACCGAGGTGAGGTGTGAACGCGAATTTTTCCCCTCGACTGTGTGTGTGCGCGGCGCGATTGATGTCGATCATGTCCCGTCAAATCCGCTAGTCGTCCGAATTTTTTGACAAATACGCATGTTTTGTGATTGAGTGCAACGAGTGACATATCGAGGAGCATCGAGGGATCGCCGATAATGGATTAATCGACGGAGGGAGTGCATTGCTCGTTTGCGATAACCGGTGAGTGTTCATAATATATGCTATTTGTTTGCCGAATTTATTATTGGAATTTTTATGCGTGTCCCTTCCGATGTGAGGGGACAGAATGTTCCCCTCATTTTAATTCATATTTTTCTACAACTGATAAGTAACAAAGAAAATTTAATTGTGTCGGAGAAATTGCCAAAAGAAACAAAATTAAATTTTGTAAATGTGAGTTCCATAATTATTTTTCAAGCTGTAGAATGAAAACCTTTTAATGTTATTATTTTCATAAAATATGCGTAATATAATTTGACCAGCATATAAATATATAATCAACAAAGTTCATCAATTTCGGTATTTTGCATGCACACTCGCAGGATACTTTTGGCTATTTCGGTAAATTGTTTTAACGACCAACGCACACGTAGCACAACGTTTTTTCCACAAGATCGGGATAAAAAAAATACATTCGAAAGATTTGGGAAGTTGCTCTTTAACCATCGGAAGCATCTAATTCTAAGCATGGTAGCCTTAATTAATATTCGTATTTAAAACACATAATTTCACCTATAGACATACCCGATTAATCTACACGGATATTATTTGATTCTTTAACATTCATAAAGGTAGAAATTTGTAGGTAATGTGTACTTTTTGTATAGGTAGTACTCCGCTTTTTTCCAGCGAAAAATACATATATCTGATACAAAGAGTTAATTTATAAAATTATGCAATTGTATATATATATTGCACATTGCAGTATGTTGCATTTGAGGTGTGAAAAAAATCGTATTCTAAAAAAAATTTACATTTTGATATATTCAAGAAACTAAAGATTTACCAAAAATTATCGAACGATTAAAAAAAAACAAAGTGACATATATGTATATTTTATAATACCTATACTTACATAATATATACATATTGTTATAAATATTATAAATATTTGATGTATTATATATAGTTATACAATTTATCGAAGTTATAAATATTTATAATAGTTATAACATAAAATTTATAGTTATAAATTATAAATACGTAAATAATTATAAAATATAAATATGTGCGGATAATATACGTGCGCGAAAAATAAATTCAAACTTTTTGTTCGTTTGCACACAATTTAATATACGGATCAATTATTTTATAAATTTAACTACTTTGTAAAAATGACGAGAATTTTTTTTTATGGAGTTGATTGTTTTCTTGGTACAAATGATACTTCGTATCAGATACATGCCCCTTGCGCTTGAACGAGCTTTAAACCCTATGGACGCCTATTGGTCCAACTGTAAAAATCCCTCGCGAGAGATACAGTGGTCCATAACAAAGTTTTCTAGTCTATAGATCAAGTAGTATATTTACATTGCCGGTCGCGCGCGCAAAATCATCGGCTTGATACGTGTCGTACGATATATCCAGGTGGAATCGCGTCAATTGTTAGTGACGCAGTCGAGTCAAAACCTGAGCAAATCTAGTTTTCAATTTCGAATCAAATTTCAAAATTCTCCGAAAATTTATTTGATTAAGTAAAAGGCAAATATGTGCTTTCAATCATTCGCGTTTATGTGATACAGTATAAGAACGGGACAAAAGAAAAAATGTGAATATATATATTTTTTAATTTATTAATTTATATATTTTTAATTTATGTAATAGTCAGGTTTTGACCGAACAGCATTCACTTTACATCGCGAATGCACACCGATTAAAAAAAATTTTTAATTTGTTAAGTACTTTATCAAAACACCCAATATATACACCTAAAACTGCGCTAAAATACTAGATTCAGTATTTTCCTGTATTCCGTGCTTTACAATCGCTTCTACATCTCTGAAGCTCGCGTTAATATCTAGGAGCCGTGTGAATTTTCGCTTTCGCTCGTTCGCTGTTTCGAGAAAAACAAGAAAATAATCTAGGAACGAGAGTGATTCTGCAAAAGTTTTTTTTATATTTAAATATAATACATATGTATAATTAAAGAGAAAGAGGGATGGTCAATGTTTTATGTTAATTAAAAATATTTTGTGTTTTTATTTTATAAGAAATTTATAATATAATTTAAAATTATTTTTTGAATAATTTAATTTACGATAAAGTATTAATTAAATACAAATTGAATATATATTAATTTGTAATAAAATATTTTTTTCGAATATTACAATAACACATATTGTGTGTGTGCATCAGTATATTATTTTTAAACTATATATTAATATGCCAACATTTGATTGTATAATATTAAAATAAGATCTGCCGAAAAATAAAACTTTGTAGATTAAAATTTATGTTAATCACTTGTTCCCAGATTCTCACTAAATAATCTCGCGATTGATATTTTTTCGCGAGATCAGATTTTCGTAAAAATCCTCAAAAGCGATACGAGAGCGAGGCGCTGCTCACACGACTTTTCTACGATTGATTGTACGAAAGCTTTTCTCTTTCTTCAGACAGAAATCGGTTGCGGTGTCGCGTTGCGAAACCGACGGACGGAGGTGTTCGTAAGCTCGCGTTTAATCGATGTAATTACACACCCGGCCGATTTGTGTATCGTGTTCGTTTGCGATAATTAATCGGGAGGACCGATCGAATAGGGTTGTGCGTCGAAATGAACCGACGACGCATCGGCAAACAATCAAATTAATGGCTGCGCGAGAACGGGGCGTAGGAGGGATAATTCGATCTAATAGATCAAATTATTTTAACACGTGACAGGTCTCGGTAGCATTACAAACTTTTGTATTAAAAAAATTTTTAACTGGCAATTTTGAATATTCCGGAACGACGAATTTCAAATCTCCAATGATCCGTATTGAAATATGCATTCCGTTAATTAATTGGCGTTTCGATGAAAAACTTCAATGCCCTGTAATTTGAGATGTAACGAGCGAGCTTTTATATATAGATAGATAATAAGATAAATGTTCTTATTAATATTTACAATGATGCTAGTTATCCATAATAGTAAGAATGTATATAAGATTCCACATTTATGCAAATATCTCTTTTAAACGACAAGAAATTGCTATAATTATGCAATTTGAAATTGTTTTAATTTTTATCATTTCTATATATTATAATCGCATTACAAAATACATTTTTTTAATATGGAATTTTTCATTGAATAACCAAGTAAGAATTGATCTCTCTCAATTTTCACATTTTTGCTACTATTTTTTGCAACCCTGAAATATATGAAAATAAGGAACACCCCCGCGATTGCGCCGAAGAAAACGAATTGGCGTACACCGTAACGCGCATTTCTGCTAATGATTGTACGAGTGCTGCTATATGGCCTATAAAGGGGTCATATATGTAATTTCTTATTCAATTTAAATTGTTCTCTCGAGTCGCGTCGTCAAATCCTACGTTCGATATCAGCTGGTATGAACCAGTGCCGTGAATTTGAAATTTTATATACTTTAATCAGTCAAAGATATTGATACATGATTTTACATAAAACTATAAACACGCAAATACATATATAAACGTGTCAATATGAAATTAGCATTATTTCATATTTTATTTTTATTTTCATATTTTTGTATATTTGTATTAAATTAATTAAGCATCTGTTTAAGTAGCTATTCAAGATTCGTATTTTTATAAAAATTCTTTATTTTTATACAAATATCAACTGTGATTATACATAACGTGAACGATTGACTTCAGCTCATTCGTTGATTGTTTTATAAAAATTTCGTAAGGTATGTCACGAATGTTGAGTAACTTTAAAACAGTCTTACATAATAATTGCGACATTCGTATAGCATATTTCTTAAAATTTCTGCATATTATTCAATGAGATTAAGATCGTTATTGCCAACTGAAAAAAGCATAGCGTACATATCATATTAACATTAAAATAGTGTTACCAGATATTCACGGCACTGGTTAAATCTGTCAATTTTTGCTTTTTCCTTTTACTACAATACAGTCTTGCCTTTAAATTTCATCTGATAAGTGACTCCAGAAAATTTTACAACAATAAGAATTCTGTTACTAATTTCGCTTACCTGCGTTAAAACTCTCGCGTCGATAAGATACTTATCGGATCAGAGCATTTGTGATTTTTAAATCACAGCAATATCGAATGAAAATGGAACGAGGCAAAATAAAAGCAATTAGCAATAAATTTTCTGTAATCCATGTAAGCGATCAACGATATATGACGATAACCATATATTCTCGTCAAACTTTGCAATTTTCGTAAAAAAGAAAAGATTTATACTGATCATAAAATTTCTGTTGAATATCGAATTTTGAAAATGTGCGATAGCAGGAATATCTTTTGGATGATTTGCTGCTCGCCACTAAAATATTATATTACCCTTCGCTCGCTGAAAACTAACTCAAAATATTCAAAATAAAATAATCAATATAACGTAATAAATAATAAGAAGACTCGTACTTCGATGGATCGCGAAAATTTTAAAATATTTTTTTGCTATCACTTTTCTTCGATTAATATCGCATAAAATGCACTATTAACAATCCGTATCTTCATTTTTCACAATATTTAAAAATTTACATTAGCTTTTGCTACACTTTTTTTTTTATCACGAATTCTAAAATCACACGAGTTCGAAGTTATCGCTACAGATCAAAAACTACTAATTAGTACATATTGAAAATTAACTGAATATCTTCAAACTTTTTCTTCTAAAATTATCTAATTTTTCAAAAATACTCTTGAAAGTAATTTCCTACATCGTCCTCGATTATCTTCGTTCTCTTATGGACAGACTTTTCTTTCGTTATCGAGATATGAGATCTTCAAAATTTATTCGAAACTTATCTGACGACATCGCGAAGAACATGTTCGTTTTGTTTTGCCGAAAAAGGGATATTATAACTAATTATATCAATACGTACAGTATTTACATGTAGCGGTTTTCGCGCACGATCAGTGAAAATGCGCGGCTGAATTGTGTCGCATCGTGTCTTATACTGAGGTAAAATCGGTGTGATTTGAGTGATCTTATTTTTTACGAATAATACTCGGTCAGAATATTTAAGTACTTTTGTCAGCTTTTCTTAAGCTTCACCGAGTAAGCGCTCAGATAAGATGGTCGATCCGTGAGAAAGATGCAATTTGAAAAGTATATATATCATTAAGTCGAGGAACTGAATAATCGGAGATTAAACGAAATAAAAAGCAGCAGTAGATGTAAAAAATAATAATATGAAAAATTATGTCACATTTTCACTACAGAAATATTTAGCATGATTATTTAAATATTAATTTCAATATTATAATTTAGTTCGTTATAACAGAGCTGTTTACAGATATTAAAATCTTAATTCGCGATCATAAGTTGGCAATTTGCTTAATAATCTTTTACAAAATAATATGTAAAAAAGTAGAGATTTGGACGGATAAATTTGTGTAGGTATATAATTTTCTGTCGTAAAAGAAGAAAATGCGGCGAATCCACGGAAATGAACGATTAGACATGTCGAAGATGTAAATCAATTATGCTGTATTTTAGGCGTCAAAATTGATTGATCCGCGCATTTCGATTGCGATTATCGGGGGCTTTTTTCTAAATCGTTCGTGACACTTTCGACACGCTTCGGCACATTCACGTGGCTCGTTCACTTTAACTGATTTGCACGTTGACGCTAAAAGCCGCGGTCACACGCACTCGTCCACACACGTCACCCGTCACGTCTGGCCTTATACATCCGTCGTTTACACGCGTGCACAATCAGTTCGTGTTCGTGTACGGCTAACACGAATAACACGTATATATTAATATTATATGTATATACAAAAACGAAGAGAGGATGCGCGAGGGAGGACGCCGTTTTTCTTTTCGTTCTTAAGCGCTCTATATTATGCTCCCTTGCGCTGTTCTCTTTCTTTTTTGTTTTCCTTACGCTCTTATTCTCGGCTTTTAAGCGTGCTTATCCCCGAGTCTGCGTATGCATCGTGTACATCGTGTAGGGTAATGAAAGAAAGAGAGAAAGAGAGAGACGGTCAATGTGTATGTAGGTGTCAATTTATCAACTTGTTATACCGGCGTCTTTGGCAGTTTCCTGCGCGTCGGCGACGAAGGCGTTTTGTCCGTTTCGGTTTCTGCAAAAATATTTCAACATGCATGGTATCAGTATATAACGAAATAGTTATGACACTCCTATAATCGTTTTCCTCGGTGGCAGTATAATGATAATGTGATAATCATTGTTGAGAGACATTTTCTTAATTGTTTCGTGTCAGCACAATTAATATCTAATGGAAATTACATGTAATATAATTGAATAAATAATTATTCTCTAGAGCTTATATAGAATAAAAGTGTTTGGATATATGAATCAATGATAATATCTAAATTCATTATTATTATAAAATTTTAATATAAAATATTTACGTTGAATGTTTGTAAATCAAATTTAGGCATATTAATATTAAAATAGAATTTAGGGATAATTGATTAAAAACGACATATATAAATACTACACATTTCTCATTGTCAAATAACTGTTAAAAATCATTAAAAAGACTTTTATATATTCTTTAAATTTTTTACAATCGGTTTTAATTTTTAATGATAAACTATTTTCACGAAATCGTATATTTTCTATATCTATACGAAGAATCGCGACCGCGATGAGAATATAAAGTGGTTTAGCAAATATTCCGGATACAAAAATATTCGTTCTTCGTCTTGCGAATATTCTCGAGGTCAAAATGGAACTGTGTCAGCGGTCAGAGGTCATTCTCGTCCTCGCAACCTTCTGGAATATCACTTGGGACTTTTATTCGTTATGTAAAAAACCACTACGCATACTACTCGGAGGTATGTGTTACCTTTTAGGCTTTTCTTTTCTTTATGGCGACCCAGTTTCGAGCCAATCCTCGCCACCCTCATCGAATCAACTAAATGTACTTAGGGTGTTATGTTTTATTACAACGATCGTTATGCTACAAATAATCGGCGATGGATTTTACTTGTACATTTTACTCGTATATTATAGTATTGGATGTCAAATTATTTTCATAGAATTTATATTTAGGGCATCGAAATCGATAAACGACATTTCTCTCGATAGTCGATTTACAATTATAAAATTTTTATACGTCGACATTTTTAACGCGATATTCTTATATATCGAAGATTATTAAATGGACTTGTGTGTATACAGTTAATATTTTTAATGTATAATATATAATGAGAGATTTCTCTGAAATATTTATATTGCTTCTAAATTGGAACCCAGGAAAAAATTTTTTATATATAACAATATAAAATTATATGAAATATGTTCATCCATAATTAGATAAAAGTGCTTTTTGTATATAATTATATAAATTTATATAATAAATATTTTTTCATATATATAAATATATGGTATATGTTGTTTTGTATATAATTTGACATGATTATATATAAACTCTTATAATTTATATATAAATTTATATAATTATGTATAAAAATAGACATATTTTACATATAATTTTACGATATGTATAATTATACTTACAATTATTTATATATAATTATATGTAAAATTTTTTTTTCGCGGGAATTAGTAAACTTTAGATATTTAAACATAAAAATGATATATTATGCATTTTAACAAAATTTGTTGCTACTTACCCATCAGAAGGCCCAAATTTGTAGGTGTTTTTCCAGCTTGCGGATCGTCTAGCAAATCTCCGGTACTATTTTGTGAGGGTGCCGTAGAAATTGGTCGTTGAGGAAACACAAGGCGAATATATAGAATCGATTTGCGGTTAGGACTGTTCACAATCGTCTCATAGTATATTACTATATATACATTGACTTACATATCGGTTGCATGCTCCACCACCAATTCCGCTACGTCATCGGTTCGCTCGATTATCTGCTGCACCTCCTCGAAGCTCCGATCGATAAGAGATACACCGGACCATTCTAGCACCTGCACATAACCATTTTATATGATATATACATATATATATATATATATATATATATATATATTAATAATGTTAAATATCGATGAAAAAAATATAAGAAAAATATTTTTTGCTTTTTGATATTAACAATTGCGATTCTTTCATTTTAATTAGCGTTTCTTTTATATATAAGTAATTGTTTGTAGCAATCGCAATCGAAATTGATATTGCTGGAAAAAGCAGATTTGAAAAATCTTTAAAATTGACATAAATCACTTTTGTCAATTTTTTAAACTATTGTAATTTTTAAACTGTTTAAGTACAAACGAAACGAAAATCACTAGAAACATCTACAAACGATTCTAAAAGAAGATTTCGCGGAATTGAGATATCTTTGGTAACTTATAATTTTTTTTTTACAATTGATTAACTATAAACGAAAGGCTGTCATTTTCCGTATTAAAAAATTAATTTTCTAAAAGACAGATGCCAGGTTTACATAGCTGAATTTCCGTGAAAATTAGCACGAAACACGACATCTCTGAGTTTGGGTAAGACTTTAAAGCGGAAATAGATCGATATCAATCTTAAAGCTGAACGAATACGTCGTTTTTAAAAATTTTTAATTTTTAATACAGAAAATGATAGCATCTATTGTTTGTAGTTATATCAGCTCCACAAATTTAAAAGTTAAAAAAAGTGACTAGTACTCTACTTTAACATATTTTAAATTCGCTTGCGCAGTTCTTTTAGAATCGTTTGTAATTGTTACCCTTGTTGAGCTTTGAAACATATTTAATATAAGAATTTTTCCGTTATATTGCATTATATTACTTATTAAATTTTGTTAATATTTTATATTAATATACATATATTTATATTCTTCGATTAATATATGCATATGTTTACTAAATACGTCACATTTATGAAAGATGTAAGTAGATATCTAGAAATTCTAATTATCAAATGAAATTCTTTTTTTTCTTATTAATGTAACATCATGGAATGGTTCATCTCGCGAGCAAAGAAGCGGAGCAAAATGGCTCAAGAATTTCCGTGGAATTGTGACCGTCAGCAGTGAAATTAATGTTAAAACGCATCTCGATGAGAGAAGGCACAGACAGACCGAATTGTAATCGGTCATAAAATAACTCGTTCTGGCTTGCGCAATTTAAGTGCTTCAATTACTTTAATTACTTGAGCAGATTGTCGTAAGGAGAACCCGATAAAAAATTTTTATATATAACAATATAAAATTATATAAAAATATATAAAATATACATATAATCGCAAAATTATAAATTATATATGAAATATTTTCATACATAATTAGATAAATGTACTTTTATAAATAATTATATAAATTTATATACATATATATATATATATATATATATATATATAAATAAGTATTTCTTCATATATATAAATATATATATGTTTCATGTATAATTTGACATGATTATATGTGAATCCTTATTAATTTATATATAAATTTATATAATTTTATATAAAATGGACATATTTCACATATAATTTTACGATTATATGTATAATTATACAATTATTTATATATAATTATATATAAAAAAGTTTTACCGGGAAACAAAGACGACGGCGGCGATACCGTTGTCGAGGGCGACAGTAAGCTGTTAACTTTCAGGAGAGATTTTTCTACTACTAATCCTTAAGTCCGGGGGAGACATTAAGATTAAAGGCCCGTCTGTTTTAACCCGATGGACGACATTTATCGCCGTGTAAGACGAAGAACCGCGAAAATGGAATTGCAGTGATTAAATGTAGAGTCGTTTAATTTCTTATCTTCACGAGCACGCAATCGAATCGAAAATTTAATAAATTCGATTCTCCAATCTCGTTCACGCGAGGCGAATATTTTTCACAGATTTCGCGGGCTTTAAATTTTCCAACAGTATATATTTCTCTTTCGTAAAATTGTCACTCACTCATGTGTTTTTTATTTCACTGAGTCGCGCAGTCGCGCGTTTATAACTTTTACTATCTTCGGTCGTGTATTAATTAACGAGAATGGAATTAAATGTCCGATTAGGGTACCATAATTATTCCGGCACGACGTTGAAAATTCACGACGGTGAAGCGTGAGATTAGTGTTTCCTCCCTGTTCTCTCGCGCTCACAATGAAACATTAATAGCGTTCGCAAAATATCGCGATGTCGACTGCTATTCAAATTTCAAATGTCGAATGGCGAAACTTGCACGTTTGTTTCAATTAGCGTATATTGTACGCAAAATCCGAAAATATATTCACCGCCACCTGCTGTATAATAATGTCTAGGGCGGATCCTTTGAAGAACGTTATACGATTCGCGTTAATTACGGCACCCGATAGCTTTCAATTAAAGCGCGAGTGGAGTCGAATTCAAATACACATTGGTGAATATATCGTTATATATCTGTGAAAAAAGGGAGCACGTTCGATCAATAGTACCATAGCTATTTTTCTCTCGTTGAAATGGAAAAAGCGTGTAAAAGCGAAAAGTGAAATAACTTAAAAATTGATTTATTATACATTAAATTATACGTTATTTGTACTAATTACCGTATTAAAATGGATTAAAATATTTCTATATTTTACTCGCTTTTATAACTTTTCATTATATCTACTTTTGTGCATCGCGTGTTATTTTATCTTAAATCATTGCTTTATCATTCTCTCATATATGATGCTGAAAGATATTAAATTCGCGTAGCATGTGACAAAATAATTATTAGACATTTTTTTCTTTTTTTCTCTCTCTTCTTTCTCTTTTTTTTCTCTCTACAGTACATAGAAATATGTAGCCTGGATAATAAGGTGACTCATATATTATTCCATGTATTCACGTGTTCGCGATTCTCTAAGCATCTACATATATATTCTCGCAATCATCGCGCCTCGGTGCAAGGTCGCGCATAATTTTTTTTCACAAGCAAACATTTATCATCGTTGCAATTTAGATATAAAACGACTTATATATGAGAAGAAAAGACTCGTAATTGAGAAAACTGTGAAATTAATTTTCCACATATGTATAAGCATACTGGATATATTCGCGAAAATCTAGCAAAAAGAAAGTGAGAAAAACGAAAATGCAGACAATTCGCGAAAAATGTAATAATTTTGTATTCCGTGATAGGTATTTAACGAAACACAACAACGACAATGTAATATAATAATTATGCGATATATATTTAGATGCTTCAGCATTCAAGTTTTCTTTTTGAGATCAAGAAATGTCTGCGATGAAAAACTTTGCATCGAAATGGAAATATTTATTCGCGTAGGAGATGGAAAGGTTTTCAACTTTTCAAATGCCCGTTGAATGATTTTCATTGCGTGCCAATCTTTCTTCCTTTGTATATTTCTGGATGTGATAAAAAGGGATTTATATAGGAGAGAAAGAAACGATTCCATGCAGATGGTACATGCAGTAAATGTAGAATTTGGTCAATTTTTATGTTCACAATAAAAGCGGCCTTTTTTGCTCCTTACCTCGAGAAGAAATTTTGAAGAAATTTTCTCCATCTATTTATATATGTTTCGTTTACAATTCAACCGAGAATCTTCTCATTTTTTTAAAATATCTTCTAATATTTATTAGGCTCTACACAATTTGTTCTCCTTCATTTCTAGTAATTTTAGAATATCGTCGAATTTTTGCATAATCGATATATACTATATTTATCTGATTGAGTTCGTAAATTTCTTGAGTAAGTTAACATATCTATAAAAATGAATATTTTGAATTTGTCTAGATCTTTCCGTCTCATATTCCACGTAAGGGTGATCGTTTCGGATTCGTTTCAATTTGCAATCATATATTGTCTCATGTATACACGCGTTCCACGCTATTACACACACGTACAATTTTCTGTCTCGATGCTTCAGAACGAGCTTTTCAGCGTTCAAATTGTATATATATATATATCCATGTTGAATATACATATATACTCTTTTTTTATATCTTTTTTTCCCTTCTGCGCTCCCTTATAGAGGGAAGGCTGCGGATACCGGTAACTGGATACAGGAAATGACGCGTATGAAAGCGATCAACCGCCGGTTCGCCGTTTTCCATGATTCTCGCTCATTGTACGATATATCGCATCGATCGGTCAGAAAAATCCAATATGCATTCGCAAACGGACGTGACATGCTGAGGAATATTCATGGAACGTTGGTGGCAATACAATACCGCGAAGTTAACTAAAAAAAAAAAATAAAAATAAAATGAAATAAAAAAAGAGACCGCGTGATTTAATAGTCGATCGATCGTCACAATCGAAAGATATCAGAGTTCAAATCAGCACAATTTGACACGGTATACGGGATGTCGAATGCGGGCATCCGAATTGTGGTATTCGGGATGCGGGAACGACAACATTTATTACAAGAATCGTAAAACAACTATTTTTGAAACTATTTCGGGATTTCGTATCGCGCAATCATTTCATTATACATATATATTAATCCTTATTGCATCTTTATTTGTAATATAATGGTTAAATTATATACAATTTTATTATAATAAATTTTTTTTGCGTTCAATGAGAAGTAAATTGTTCTTCATCAGAATTAAGGTTTATTATATCATACACTCAAATCGAGATATTAAATTTTCTATCCTATTTTATTGGATATATGTATATAAATATAGTCATGAGAAATACTCGAAAGATATTTCTGCGTCGGAATTGGCTTCTTTCTTTCCTTATCGCGTTACCTCGCCGTTTATTTACGATGCACAAGTGCCTCGTATTTCACCCCATTCGGAAACATTATTTAAAATAAGCGACTTGCGCGCGCCCGTTTAACCCTCGAGAAACGTCTGTCTTTAGTTTTGCGTTGTCCCGAAAATTTACAACATGCTATTCGTTCCGTAGAATGAAAAGGTTAGTCCATGCTCGAGCAAAAGCGAATCTATTTGATCTCTTAGATCTGCTAAGATGAGAGAGAAGCGTCGTGTTTCGTCAAGTATTTTTCGCGACATAATGAAACAGAAAAATCGTTTTTGAATGATATAAAGATAAAATGTGAAACATGATATTTATGTGAACTTTCGTTTGCTTGCGTCAAATTTTCATGCGAAATATTACGACGGAACACACGCGGTGAAATTTCAGCGAAAATAAAATTTCGAAAATTACGTTCCGTTTTTTACGAAAAATACTGGAACTGATGAGCTGCTGATATATGTGTATACGCTATGATTCAACATAATCCAACAGCGATATTTCGCAAAAGATTATGCTAACTATATGAAACACGAAATATTTATAAGACTTGAATTTTGTAATTTACTTGAAAATATAATTTTTTTTTTATAACAATTTCTTGCATATAGAAACGTATGCAATTTAATATTTAACAAAAATAAAAAAGTTATCAAATATTTTTATTTGAACGGATTAAAGTAGAATATATGTTATATTACGAAATAATACATAATAAATTTTCAAAGTATACATTTGAATGAAATATGCGCATGCAACAGAATATTCATTCACGATATAATATTAGCTTTGCAGCAGAGGCGTCGTAAACATAGTAAATATTTTTTGATTTTCATATTTTATCTCTGTACGTTGATTGTTTATTTCTTTATATCAATTGTTGGAGATTAACTTGTATTTTCGTTCATATTCATATGTGTCAATACTGATGCGTTGGCGTCATATAGATGTTATCGTGACGTAAATATTCGTTCAATAAATATAAATATCCGTTCAGATTAACAAACTGAGAAAGGAAGAGAATGGTAATGACGCTTCATTTCGTCATATCGTTATATCGTTAAACGATATTATTTAATATGTAAATGGAATTTTATTATAAAATTGTTTTAACTCTTGGCAACAAAGATTCTCTGTATGATTATCGTAACAACGTAAAAAGCATGAATGCACGAAAGCATTTTCGGTATAGCGAAATAAAGTAGCATTTTACTTTGCGATGAATTCTCACTTAGCACGGTAAATTCATTTTGTCGCATTTACTTTATCATTATTGAATTAAAACAGAAAGGATTATATTTTCGTAAAATAAACACAATTTATTCGATTTATAACAGAGTTACGATTAATGAAATATTAAATCAGAACGGGAGGGAAACGCACATAATGTTAAAATCATATTACTTTATACTCCATTTCCAACCACTCTAAGTTATTTTAATTCTATTAACATTCAAATCTCCTCTCTTTCTTCCTTTCTCCCTCAATCTCAATTTTTAAAGATTAACTTTGAATTCGTATTAACGTCTTTAATTCAATTAAGTTATTGTTTAAATTTCTCTAATTTTAAATCTTGGCCGTGACCAAGTAAAGTTTGGTGCCTTGTGTACAGGTATTTAATCTTAACGAAAAAAATTTAGTTTCGTTGGGATAACGCACTGTCATCCGCGATTTGGCTCTTATTGCCTGTCTTACACTTTAAATTTGATTTCTCAGTTTGCGTTTTTTTGCTTTTAGTTTTCAGAATCGGATATTTTTTCCATTTTAATTTAAATAAAAAGTGCTATATATAAATACACATTGATTTAATTTTATATATTTTTATTAATATTAAATTTATTACCAATACTTTTTATTTGCTGTTAAAAAATTGAATTTTACAATACGATCCTACAAAATTTATGCAATTGCATTAGAAATCGCACTCGTCGTTTTTTCATTTATCCTCGCTCTGTTTGGCGTCTGGAGAGCAATTTATCTAGGAAACGCGCGCATATCACGCACGAACCCACTTTGAAAAGTATTGGCCAGTAATAAAAGTTTCTCCATACGGTTTATTGGATCACGTCGACGATTAATCAGCGTACTGTGTCCTCATTGACGTTAAATTTCATTTTCGACGTAAGCCGCGTGCGACGACGACGTTCACGTGACGTCAGCGGGCAAATATTGTCAGAACACCCGGGTTTTGCTGAGAGTTGGCATTTGCCGTTCGATCGACTCGACGTCAAACTTTATTGTTATTAATTACCACGTGGGCGATCGTCCATTAACCGCGAGTGTATGTATGCGGTACACCACCGTAATTCGCCGCACTGATAGATACGTCACATCGACGATATGACATATAGGGCAAGATAGTATTGTGAGCTCATTACCGGTATAACTGGATAATAAGGTACGTGACACGGAGATTATGATAAGAACAATTTTAGATATTCGTTTCAGGGTGTCAGGGCATCTGAAAAATCAGGCATATTGTCAGGGAAAAATTAGGAAATTTTACTATTTTTCGAGATTCTACTTACATTATTTTACATTTGTCTCAATATAATTTGAAATTTTTTATTAAATAAATATAAACCTCCTTCACCCCCAATTTTCTGTGTTAAAAATCGATCCATCTACAGCCATCTATTCGTTAATTTATATTTTCATCGTCGTGTTATTTTATTTCATTGTGTTTGATAGAGACAAAACTACAAAATTTGATATAAGATAAATAAAAAAGGTGATTATTTAAATAGTTTATAGGACATGTTTGTTTGGATTATCGTACATAATGCAGATTGTATAATTTGATTTAAATTTTTGTTTCAACTTCCGAACCTTTTTATTGTTGACAAAAATATCTTAAGAATTTCATGATTTAATATTTAATTGATTTATCATATACTTAGATATATGCAAATTATATATTTGGAAAAAATTACTAAAAAGGGAAAAGATTAATTTCTGGTCTTGGAAAAACTGAAAAAGTCAGGGAATTTTTTTATTGAGTCTGCTGGACATTGAATTTCGACACAACTCTCAGATCTATCTACGCATTTCGAAAAAAATAATATATGAATATTTAAATTTAATTAAAAAAACTTTAGTTTGTTGATTCACTAAATTTCTTATCCTAATTTTATTTTATTGAATATTCCTTCTTTGTTTCATCAACTTTTTTTAACGACAGAGGTTCTTCGAGTCGGTTCTTTTATTGCAAACATTTGATGAAAGATCAGCGTTCGTTTTAAATTCGACGTGTGAAATGTAAAACCGTTTACGATCTTTTTACCGTCGCGATAAAATGAAGAAAAAAGAAAGATCAATATTTAATTACGTTCTCGTTCTCGTTTCCAGGTCCGATTTAGTAGGAACTTTGCTCTCGCGAGGTTTCTAATTACTCCGCCCCTCCGAGAAAAACGCTCTTTTTATCTTCATTCCTCTCTGTTTCTTTTCCTCTTTTACTAACCGTTACTTAATGTATGTGTATCTAACTAGAATAATATATACCTCTAAGGCAACATAAAATATTCTTTTATTGAAAATAAAAATTGATATAAAGTGCACGAGAAAGATGTTTGAATATATGCTTTATATACATATATGTGTGTGCAATATACTGTACTAACTTTATTTCGAATTAATTAAACAATTATTCAATAAAACATTAATTCTCTTAGGGTACTAAGAATGTAAAAACAATTTCTTTATGATTATATCTATTGTTAATTCTAGTTTACATATTTATATTGTATATGTATATTATAATGCGAAACAATAAGATTATTCTAATACATATATGTATTTTATTTGTTACAGGTAGCATTGTGATACGATGCGATTCACGTGTCGTTTCGGGAGTGCCGTGTAAAGTTTCGCGCGTCGGGAGTGCCGTGTAGAATTTCTCGTTTCGGGAGTGCCGTTTAAAGTGTCGGGCGATCGTAATTCTAGTTTTCGCGAGTGTCGTGAGTGTTACGAAGACCAAGAGAAGAGGAGAAGATCCGGGAGGCATCGGGCAACAACGGAGCATAACTGCGAGGTATGTAAAATAAAATATTTTTTTCTAAACTACATTCAGGTGTCTAGCGGTCAGAAAAATCTGGAAAACCGGACATTGTCAGGGAATTTTATAAATCTGGAGTTGTTAGGGAAAAGTCAGGAAATTTTACTAGTTATCTGGATTTTTTCACATTATTCTACATTTGTCTCAATAATTTGAAATTTATTAAATAAATATGAACTTTTCCTTCACTTGCAGCACGCTAATTTTTGTTAATTTATATTTTCATCGTCGTGTTATTTCTCAATGTGTTTAATAGAGATAAAACTAAAAAAATGTAATATAATATAAATAAAAAGGTGATTATTTAAAAGTTTATAATGACGTTTGTTTCGATTATCGTACATAATGCAGAGATTGTATAATTGATTAAAATTTATGTTTTTTAACTTCCGAACCTTTTCATCGTTGACAAAAATATCTCAAGGATTTCATGATTTAACATTTAATTGATTTATTATATAGATATATAAATTATATATTTGGAAAAAATAATAGTAAAAAGTCAAGGAAAAGATTAATTTCTGGTCTTGGAAAATCTGAAAAAGTCAGGGAATTTTTTTCGTTGAGTCTGCTGGACACCCTGACATTGTTTATGAGATATTCTATCATTTCCAGACTTTCAAAACACCCTATATATATTATATATACACACATACGCATGTATATACATTATTTGAATATTTTGTTTTCAGATCAATGCTGTGTACTACAACTCCGCTATTGCGCTTATCGGTGAGTGAGAAATAATTTTTAATTATTCTATAACGATAATAAAGGGATGTGTAAAGCATATCTCATTTCGTGAAAACTTAAATAATCAAGTTGGCATATATTGATAGTTTAAATAAATTATTCTGGCGATCGAAGAAAATATCTTTATATGCCAACTTCACGCATCGATAATTGTTTAAATTTAAAAGATTTATACAAAATTCTACAAGAGTTCTAAAAAGAGGTCTGCCTTTTATAAAAATAAAAAAAATATTAATTAGTTTATCTTATCCCTATATTGACACACCGTCAAATATGTAAACAAGAACGCGTTGCTATTTCTTACACGAGATATAATTTGTAAAGTTTTTCAAAGAAATATTTAAAATGATGATTCAATGATAATCCAAGAAATTATAAAAGTAATATAGTTGGAAATTTCAAGATTATAACGAAGAGAATAATACTCGTATAATATACAATAAAATAAAATAAATTGTCAAGATAAGCGAATAATTAATTTAATAAATAAACAAATATATAAATTAGCAAAATTATAAATAAATTATTTGGTGCCTTTTCAAGTTTCTTCCTTGTTTGTTCTTTGCTGCTTTTTTATAACATTCACTCAATCACGAAAACACAATTAATTATGATTATGCTTAATTGTTAGAGTAAGACGATATTATGCGATATTTATATATTTACATAGCACTTCTAATGTTAATCACATGCGCGATGCATGCTTTATTTAAAATTGCAACGAGAAAATGCAAAAATGCAAATTATCCAAGGCGACATATACGATCCGTTTGGTATTAGGAAAAATATGCACCCGAATTCACACAATGCTATCCTTGCTGGTAACGAATACCCGTATTTTTCGACGACAAAACGTGCAACAGTTTCTGTTGGCCGTGCGAATGACAACAAGACTACTGTGTATAAACAACAAACGCGATGTACGTCGCAAAAATTCAGTAACACGTAGCTGTTGCTATTGTTTACACGCGGTGATATTGTTGTCACTTGCGATGTGAACAGAAATCGACGAGCGTTTTGTCGTCATAAAATGTGTAGCACGAATATGACTGTATGACTTTCTGAATGCTGAGCAGATTGTAACTTCGTGTGACTTTGAATCGCAATATAATATAAAGTATGAGTCGTCTATGTGATTAATGTTGGGAGATAAAGTAAAGAGTGTCGCATAATTATTCTATTTTGGTAATTAAATCGCGCGCGCGCGCGCGGGCAAGACTGTAATTAATTGTTTTCGTGAGTAAATGAATGCCAGAAACAGCAAAGGAACAGAGAGGAATAATGGCATTGGGCGACGAGAAACTATGTAAGATTTGCAATTTATAATTTTATTTTGTTGTTTGAATAATTAATTGCTTGTCTTTACGAGAATGATTTTATATTATTGTGCAATAAATTATGTAATATGTATAAATATTCTAGGTCTAATTTTGAGAGTTTTAACATTAAAATACATTTTTAACGTACTCTTTGTACAAGTTAGCACCGTCACTTCAGCTTGTTTTTTAATTAATTTAAATTACATTAAACTTAATTTAAATTAAATAAAAAATAATTTCAGTATATTGATTATATCTCGAGAGCAAATAATTTGGAAAATATTTTAATCAGAATCGAAAGAGCACTTAACGTAAAATCTACTTTTATAGCGATATGAGTGTTTTTTGATTATTTTAAAACTTATTTCGCGAATAATAAATATTTAGAATATTTCGATAGTAATTTGGAAAACAATTGAATATCAATCTTGATTATTTTCGTTATATGATTTTAATATTTCATGTTGGTGCATATATAAATATTTAATATTTTTTAAATCTATCTTTGTACTATCTTTGAGCAATTAACTCTGTTAAATCTGTTTTTTTTTTAATTTTGTTTGATTAGCTATGTCTTTATGAAAATGAAACGCTAGCGTAATATTAAATTAATATTTTTATTTGTAATATTATTTATCTTTTAAACTATGATAGGAGATATAAATTCGCGATTAGATCAATAAATTAGTCCTTAAATTCCATTCGGATTTGATTTTTCTCGTAGTAAAATAAAGATGCGAAATTAACGAAAGTCAATTTTAACGGAGGTTTATTTCACAATCGGACAATAACGAATGGATTGATCAGAATAGATGTATTAAAGTTTGTTGCTCCGGTTTTACAAGTGACGGTACGTAAGCGGATTAAACGAAGCTCGAACGGAAACGCCGCGTCGCAAATTTTCGTTTCGCGCGAGCAACAAGTATATCATGCCTGTCAGGATGTTTGCCATTTTCCGCTCTCATGTTTCGCAAAATTCAGAATTTACACCATTTTCTCTTAACCCCGACGCTCGATATTTCGACGCCGTCGATCGCGAGAGAAATGAGAAATGGAGAAGGCAACGCGTCCCTTTTTTACATCTTTCGCGGGATAATGCGCGCGTAATAGGAATGCGGACTATTGTGCGATATCTGCACGTTCCTTATTAGACGTTGTCGTGAAAGGAAAGCTCGCAGACGATAAGTGATTGTCGTCGGGTGCTGCTCATGGAAATGTAATGACAAAAGCGAGGCAGCATCTCCTCGTTTTCCCGATCGATCGATCATTGACGTCCGCCTTTCTATATCCTTGCGATGACACTCATGACCTGACAAAAGGACGGTATTTTCTGTCTTTTCGTGCAGGCTAACGTTTGAATGGGATCTGAGTATCGTGCTGTGTGAGCCATTTAAATGCTTAATAATGCCAAGAATATACGTCTTATTTCGAATATTGCGTTGTGTAAATATATGACATATAACAGGGTGTTTAGCGATCAGGGAAATTTGGAAAACCGGACATTGTCAGGGAATTTTATAAATCTGGAATTGTCAAGGAAAAGTTGGGAAATTTCACTATATTTATCTGGATTTTTTCACATTATTCTACATTTGTTTCCATAATTTGATATTTTTTATTAAATAAATATGAACTTTTCCTTGACTTGCAGCACGCTAATTTTTGTTAATTTATATTTTCATCGTCGTGTTATTTTATTTCAATGTGTTTAATAGAGATAAAAAATTTGATATAATATAAATAAAAAAGGTGATTATTTAAATAGTTTATAGGACATGTTTGTTTGGATTATCGTACATAATGCAGATTGTATAATTTGATTTAAATTTTTGTTTTTTTAACTTCCGAACCATTTCATTGTTGACAAAAATATTTCGAGAATTTCATGATTTAACATTTAATTGATTTATCATATAGATATATGCAAATTATATATTTGGAAAAAAATAATACTAAAAAGTCAGGGAAACAATTTCTGGTTTTAGAAAATCTAAAAAATCAGAGAATTTTTTTCATTGAATTTGCTGGACACCCTGTATAAATATATTAAATCGATGTCTTCTCTTTACACTCATTTTGTATACTCAATAAAGTATAATTAATTTTAAATCTACTTTTTCCAAAGTTTACACTTTGCATCACAATGGATATCATCGAATTCGTAAGTACTATAGATAAGAATTGCTTTTATAATAAAACTGGTTGCTAATTAATGTAATTAACTAGCTTTCGCAGTGGCATGCAATTTGTATGACGTTAAGTAAAATTTATCAATTTGAACGTAAATACGAACACGCAAGCGAATAGAACGGCTCTTTTCGCTTGACTGTCAGTACTTCAACTTCAAATTTAATTAGAATCGATGCGTCAGGAGCTGTCGATATTTACGCGCATTTACCATTTATAACAATGCCCGACAGGTTAAAATGATGAACGTGTGACGGGAAAATATTTTCGTCTTCATATATGTATAGTATTTGCTTTCGAAGTATGTTGAGTATTTATGTTATGTTGTTTTCGAATATTATTTTGTATGCAACGATTGGCTGGACATGACGCGCGGTAGTTTCCTCTCATTTCATAAAGACGCGTATGTGAAAATGGAGAACTGACAAAATTGTTAAACTTCACAAACATCGGGAGCGAAAGATACGAGATTATCGCACTTTAAAAATGCAAACGGGATCATATGTTTCTAAATGGAACGGAACGCAGTAACGTTAGTAATCTATTATAATCCCACATGTTCGCGGATAAATATTCAATTGATTGAAATAAAGTTTAATTTTTAATATAAAATAAAAATGAATATATATATATATATATTTTTTATAAATATTTTTATTTTTTTGTGATATATTCTTCTATAATTAATATTTGAATTTCACGTTATTTCAAAATATGTGCATCAAAAATATATTGGACAGTAAACATATTGATAACATATTCTTTTTTCAAATATATATATATATATATATATACACATATTTCTTCAAATCTGAGAGAGATAGAGAGAATCTGAAACCCGACAGGCAACTTTCAGGATTATTCTTAAAATTTAGGCGTAAAAGATAATTATATTAGGTATAACACAATTATATTACTTATTTGTATGTTATATTATTTTGTGTTGTTGTGTACTTATTTTCATATGAAATACTCTGTATAGAATATGGAAAAAATTAGCTATCATAGCCAAATTTTAGTTGTATATATTACATATATTACAATCTGAATTTTAGTTATCATGTCTAAATATTAACTACCATATAACTGCACAGAGAGAATTTTCTCTTAGAACTTACCCTAAAAATGATGGTATAATAGTGGGTCAATATATGGTATTGGAAGAATTTTGTAAGAGTTTCTCAGCTTAATATTTACCACAATAAAAATTATTAATATCTATCACAATAAGATATAAAATATATTCGATTAATTTTACTATGTACATATTAATATTTTTATTGAATTAAATATTAATTAAAAACATTTTTCAAATACCTTATTAGCCTATGATTACCATGATTTTCAGGGTATAAATTCTAAGAGAAAATTCTCTCTCCGTGTAAAATTTAGACACGATAACTAAATTTCACGTTTAAAGGCAGAGCTATAATAATTTTTTAAACAATAGCTACGTACCTATAATAATTAATTTTATTATGTACATACAAATATTTTTGATTGTATTAAATATTAATCAAACACATTTTTCAAATACCTTATTGGCCTATGATTACCATGATTTTCAAGGTACCATATAAATTCTAAGAGAAAATTCTCTCTTCGTGTAAAATTTATGCACGATAACTAAATATCATGTTTAAGGGCAGAGCTATATAATAATTTTGTTTCAAATAGCTACGTATAATAATTTTTTTTCCATATACATATATAATTCTATAATGTTATTTCTACGTGGAATGCGTGCGTGTAATGCATCAACCGTGCACGTACCTTGTCGCCTTGCTGCAAGCCGGCTTTCTCGGCAGGGCCACCCGGCACGGTCCACACGATGCACGCGAAGGTGCGGCCGTCCGACCCGGTCTTACCACCCACCACTCTCATGCCAAATCCGCGCGCTGTAACAAAAGGGTATAACGTGGGCTGAGAATGTGCAATGTGCGATGTTACCGTCGCAATTTCCGCGGATATCTCTCGTGTCTCCTCGTGGGTAGGATTTGCGTCACCGAGCCCGAGAACACTCGGCCGCGCGCACGTGTCGGTATGCGCCGACCTCTTCGAAGCGACCTCTCGAAAGAGACATACTCGTGTTTTGCAGCGCGACGCTAATCCGGATGCACTGTTTACTCTAATGTCCTCCGTCCTGTCCTCTCTTCTCCCTTATTATAGCAAATTTATATACGATGCGCGTTACATCCACGGCGAATGCGGCTCAAAAGTCTAGGAAAATAATTAACACCCACGTTCTCTCGCTGTAAACGCGAGTGGCAATTGCGTCGATTGTTGAAATAACAATGTCATGTTGTTAATGAGCTCTAACGCGCCCGCGTGAGTATTTGTAATTTAGCTTCGTGAATTATTATCCGATCGTCGACGTAAGTTTCGGAAAAGCAAGAGTTAGGTAAAATAGCCAATAATATTTAATAATTTTAATTAATAATTCATATCATTGCATTCGAGACAAATCATTCTTAAAATTTGTACACATACATCAACTATTATACGTATGTATAAAATATCACGCTGATAAATGCATCATTTTCTTGCAACAATTTTAAGAAGCAAGAAATTTCAGTGAAAAGCGTTGCGAGACGCTTTCTCAGTCATTTTATTTGTCGAAACTGGACACACATTTACTTTCCTTAAATCCGCTTAAGCTGACAGAACTACTCCAAAGTGTCGTGTCTCAATCGCATCTGGCGATTACGTGCACTTTCACGGGATACAATCCGACGTGATCAAGCCAATTTCGAGCTATCAGCTCTAAGGATTTCGCAACATCTGGATAAACCTTCACGCCATTAACCGCGCGAATTCGACGGGCATTCGCGTTATTGCCGGTGACCGCAGATCCGATGTCCATTAGGACGAGAACTCGCGTAATGTGCCCGTGAATAAAGCTCTGGGAATTAAACGGACCCTACAGATCCGTTTCACTTTTGTACCCGATTTTATACATCGCGCGGACTTTGTTATATAAAATTTACATCCACCGAACTTATGCTCAGGGTGTTTAGTGGTCAGGGAAATCTGGGCATTGTCAGGGAATTTTATAAATCTGGAATTGTCAGAGAAAAGTTGAGAAATTTTACTATTTATCTGGATTTTTTCACATTATTCTACATTTGACTCAATAATTTGAAATTTTTTATTAAATAAATAAAATGTGTTTGATAGAGACAAAACTGAAAAATTTTATATAATATAAATAAAAAGGTGATTATTTAAATAGTTTAGAGTGACATGTTTGCTTCGATTATCGTACAAAATGCAGATTGTATAATTTGATTTAAATTTTTGTTTTTTTAACTTCCGAACCTTTTCATTGTTGACAAAAATATTTTACAAAGATTTCACGATTTAATATTTAATTAATTTATTATATAGATATATGCAAATTGTATATTTGGAAAAAATAATATTAAAAAGTCAGGGAAAAAATTCTTTTTTATGGTCTTGGAAAATCTGAAAAAGTCAGGGATTTTTTTTCATTGAGTCTGCTGGACACCCTGATGCTGTTTAATGCATTCAAAGCTTGCAGAATTATTTATTTCTTTTTTGTATTCATTTTCGAAAATGCGAAAGAATTAACGTGCATAACCAAGGATTGTGAAAGATTTGAAGCTTAATAAATAATTGCGACATCTGCACAATACTGCGATTAGAAATACGAAATTTATTTAGGTCGAGAATATTGCGAACGAATTTATGAAAAATGGATTTTTCCATTCCCGGTGGAAATTGCGTTTATACCGGGATCGATAGAAATTAATAACGTCGAAATTGCGGAAAAATGATCGCGCGATCGTCGCTTTCTATACGCGAACAACGGTCACGTTTACGTCGAGAAAAGCGTAGAACAGGTTGAAAAAGTTTGCGCTTCTCGCGCTATTTGCGCGGATGGAGCATCGTGTAACTCGCTATCGAAGTTTTAACGAGCCGAAGGGATGTAACGTCGCGCGGTGATGTAAGCCGATGAAGGCGGAGGGGATAAAACCGATAAAATAATGGAGAAATTTGCCGATAATAATAGCGTATAACATTCGTAATTTGGCTGCTCCCTGCGATGCGAGCGAGGATAAAAGAATTGCTAGGTCGACTTTTTGTAGCTTTTCGCGCGCAGCATGTCGTTCCGGAGCTCAATTCCGTTTGTTTCTCACGTTCGCATCGTAAAACTGAATTTGCACCATTTGTTATTTATGATCTTTCCATATAAGCATCTTCTATAAACTGAGGATACGGTTGTTGGTAAATAAATTAAAATTATTATTATAGAAATGAGAGATATAGATATAAGTATCGTGATTTAATTTAAGGAAATACTATTTATATATAAATATTTCTTTATTAGATGATGGGCCCAAAATTCATCATGAATAATCAGTTAAAGTAGAAATATAATAAATACTTTAATTATAATTAATATACAATGAGTGAAATAAATTGATATTAGGATTGTTTCATAATTTTCGGAAAACACTAGAGGAAATTATTTAAATCTTGAGATTTAAATAGTTTAATAAAATGTTAAGATGATTAAAAAGATCTATTACATAAAACATTTTTTTAAATATAATCATATATAGATTGATATCTGAATTAATTGAGAGTAATCTTAGAATTATTAGTATTCATTATCTTTAAATACCTATTTGAGAATCTATTTAATACTCCTTATCGAGAAAATTGAATGGGATTAAATCGTTATTATTGACAATAAAATGCTCTTTTAAATTTACTTTCGACGTTCGAATAGAAATAAAATCAGCAAACAGGAAGACTCAATATAACCAGTCTAATCCATCCATGCTTCCCATTTTGCTTTCTCTCAGCGTCATTACGAGAAAACATCTTTTTTCTCTTGAGAGACACGATCCCTTTATATACTCATCTTCTTTTAGCACAGTTATGTCAAGATTATTTCACGGAACAACGTAGGCGTGGTACGCTAAAGTAGTAGTCTTAATCCGAGGTTACGATGACAGGTGGGTCGAAAGGGCACGAAAGGGAAAAGGGCGATCGAGGACGAGATGTCGGGGGCGCGATTTGGTTCAGCACACAAGAAGAAAAGGGCGCGAAGGGACGTGAGATAGATACGTTTCTCGTCTCCTCTGTCTCTCGTGCTCTATATGCAGTGTTTAGATAAAATTATCTAGATGATCTATAGATGAAACTTTGGCGTCAACTTATCTTTATATAGATAATGAAAATATGTATTTTCTATATCTGGAACTTAAGCAGTAAGTGATAAAAATTTATAAATAAAAATATGAATACATATATTTTTATATTCTTTTTATAATTTACATTTTTATAACTGCGTTTACATAAGCAGTCTTAAAAATTATCTAGATGAATTGCTACATAATTTCATCTTTTATCTAGATATATTTCAAACAAAATCATCTTTATCTTATCTAATTGTAAGATAAATTTACATATTTTTGTATTAACATTGTCTATATATGCATATTGCGAATGCAGTCAACATATTCGCGTTCGGATGCGTCTACGCCTACGCGGTCAGCCATGCGGCATTGTTGCTCGCCACCGGTAATAGTATTGTCCCGAGCCTGAGTATTAGTGTGAGAAATTCGAAACGCGGACGTGCGAGGAGAAGCACTTAATTAAGTGTTAGCCGCGCGCGCGTGCGTAATTTCGTTCTCTGATGTGTACGAATTAATCCCGTTTCTAATCGCTGCGCGTAATCTTGCTTCGTTTTGCATGCTAGAATCGTGAAGACGCATTCATTATATGTTGTTAATTTATTATACATAGTTTTTTTATTTAGTTTAACTTATGACAATGCTATTAGAAAATGGGTGTAAAATCTTTAAGAAATTATTCGAAAAATAGTATTTTTGTATTAATAATATAAAAAAAATTTATATAATTTATATAAGTTTATATAATATTTTATATATTTTATATAATTTATATAATTTTTATATAACATTTTATATATATTTTATATAATTTATATAATTTATAACACAAGAGTGTATTTATCTTACAATATTGTCTTAATAAAGTTAGGTTCTCTAATCGCTGCGCGTAATCCTGCTTCGTATCCTACTTTGTTTTGCATGCTAGAGTCGTGAAGACGCATTTATTACGCATTATTGATTTAATATAATTATCCGCGGAAAAAAGTACTTTTTAATAATATGAAAAAATTTTTGTATAATTTATGACACTAGGATATGTGTATTTTTCTTACAATATATTATCTTGATAAAAATTTGCGTTTACGCGAGTAAACGATGTGAGTTTTAGAGAAACTATATAGTGCCTGGTACACGATGAGAATATGTAGAAAAAAATACCAATGTTATCTGTGAACGCGTCATCGAGCGAATTCGTTGCGATTCACGAAGAGTGAAAAAATCGCACTTGAAAGTATTCGCGACAAATCGAATTAAAACCTCTCACGTCGACGTCTCTCGCGGTCGAACCGGTTCGCGATTTTAAATTCAATCCTATCGGCGAATCGATTGTCATCCCGAACTGCTGTCGTATTGGTTGACGTGCGAATTTGCGTTTGCACAAACGCGACGTTAACGAGATAGGATGTGGACGCGACGTCGTACCATTTAATTGATCAATGTCATCGAGCTCGCCAGCGTGTAGCAGGATTATCTGTTAATGCCTCGACGAACTGGTTAAGGAGAATCTCGTTCATGTCGTAACGCTGGCATAGCTCCGAGAGCAATCCGGTTAGAGGTTTCCCTCTCGCAACGCTATGGTAATTATCAATAAGTATCAGTCACGATCAGCTGCGCGAGTGCACAAAGCTTGTTCGCACCCTATATTGAGTTTGCCGAATTTGCGAAGAATGCAGCGTTCGCTGTATTCATTATTTTGTATCAATGATGATCGACGATTAACTATTCAATAA